ATCACCTGTACCTGCTGCTCTGTTTAACTCTGTGTGAACTAGAACGCCATCGGCACACCAACAAACCCTCAGTATAACTCTAACAAATGATCATAGAGGCAACTCGATGCTTTTCTGACAGACAAAACAAAAAACACAACATTATGAAACCACAGTGTCAGTTTCACTGGTGAAAAAGCCTAAACTCAGTCACATTTGCTTGTCAGTGTTAAAAAATGCAACCCTGGACCGAACCTTCGTCACGGGTAGTTTGTACAGACACAGGACCAATCATTTATTATGACATACCGTTTCCCACATGCCAAATTAAAGTCCGTCTGGTTGTGGATTAACCCCTAAAAACGTATTCCAGCATTTCATTCCTGTCATTCCTTTACAGTTTGCATATCTCCATCCATCTCTCCCTGTTTGCTTGAACACAGCAGCTCAACTACAGCTCTGCTCAAACACTGTTCAGTTACTCTACAAGACAAAATGGAAAGTTGTAGCACTGAAGTAATTCAGCCGCACGTTTGAACCTGAAAAGGTTTTAAAAAAGAACAACGATACAGGAACCCTGTGACTGGACAGGACTGGTTATCTACATGTTCACTGGTAAAGTGCTGCTGGTTTTGCTCACAATGTCTTCTAGCTTAGAAAAAACACTTCTTCATGTTAACTATATGAAAAAAAAACTGAGTTTTCTCAGGGGGGTATTTTTCAGCCTGACATGGCCATGAGACTGGACTTGAGGGTAGCCCTGGTCGGTAACCCATCTCGTACCATGAATTCAGCTGAACCTGAGCTCCTTGCGGTCCCTGTCTAACAAAGGCCAAAGAGCCCCTTTAAAATAATCTTTAATAGGGATATGCAGATATTCTAACATGTGAAAGCTACTGGACATGTTGGTGTGATGTTTGCTGTTTTCATATCGCATTTTTCCAGCTAAGACGCTAAAATTACAAACATATTGGACAAAATTGCCCAGAATAATTTGTGCAGCTAATTGTTGCACATATATAACAAAACCTAATGACGAAGCCGGACCATTGTTTCTGGCACAGCCTGCTGGTTGAACAGAACACAAAGCTAATGCACAAGCAAAGAGGCGCTGGTGACTGCTTGCTCACAGCGAACGCAAAGGCAGCTTTGGATTGTTGGGTTCTTTGTTCAAAACTTGTTGCTATGCTAGGTGTTGACACATGTTGTGAATTCATGCTATACATATAAAACCTCATTGAAGTGAAACCATAACTGCATAAATGTTGCATAGAAGGTTTTAAGTTGTGACCAAGCCTCCATTTGTTCTGAACAATAACAAATCATTGACTCCAGATTTACTGCATGCATTCATAAACATGACGCTTGTTCTCTTTTCTCATTGTGGTGGGAGTCCACCTACCCGGGTGATGTTCTGAACACGGAACAGACGGATGATGACGTCATCGTCTGCCGTCCTGGACAAGAGCTCCACCGTCATGGGTCCGAACTGCTGCAGGCCCGGTTCAGGCCAGTATTGCAGACAAGGCTGGAAGCAAAGGGGGAGGAGGAGAGGAGGGGACAGGTCATTAGCCCACACTGAGCAAATCATTATGTCAGCAGCCAGTGATGGTGAAGCCAGTAACAAGACACCTGAGTATTGACAGCAGAGACAATTAGCCTAAATGACAATGATTATCTACAAATAGCAACCGTAAATTAAATGAGCAAAAAAACAACCCACTCATTGCTGAGAACAATCCCTCACATAAGCCGCGGTCACCTAGCTTGAATTATTCATGAGTCCCAATCATTACCATTAGCACATTATAAATTAATGGAGTAAGAGACCTTGGTTGTGCCCGGGAGAGATAAACAGGAAGTTAGCTGAGAGGTGGGACGAACGCACAAGCCAAGGTCTCCCATCACTACTGCTTCAAAGATGCATCCCCCAAGCCAGAGAAAAAAAACACCGAGCAGCTACACTGACATGCTGACGTGTTGCGCCGTGACTTTGGGGTTTGAGCAGAGCCCTGGAGTAGGAAGTGATAACGGCATGTCACAGTGACAGAAGGGTATTAACAGGTGACATTGGACAGTAGGGGAGATAAATATTTATACATCCAGACGGGAGACGGGCAGGAGGACAAACTGTGTGTGTGTGTGTGTTGGAAGGGAACGCTGTTAATCCACTGGCAGCAAAAGACAAGGAGGAAGAATAAAGTGACAAAGGAAGAGGGACAGGTTGCAGCTGACAGGCATGGTGGAAATGTTGAGCAGGAATGAGACATGACATGGTGACAAAACGGCGATAGGGAGACGGCAGAACAAACCCACGCATGAGCAAACATGGGGGGGAAACGATAAGAACGTAACAATGCAGTGACAGCTCATGCAAATTAAATGGACAGCCTGAATACGGGATTGAAGCTTTGCGGCAGAGAACCAGTGGAAGGCCAGACATGTGATGACCCCTCCTCACTGTGCTGAGAGCTACAGTCATGTCTGATTGAAGAAAAGGGGACATAAGTGTTTGCTCTGCTGCTATTGGCGTGTGATCATATGAGAAACGGCCATTTGAGCAGCAGCATCCTTCATTCACCTCATGAGCAGGACTCTACCCGTCATTACCAGCAGTGCTGAAGCAATTAATCAATTAAGCTATCTTCTCAAATATGAGAATCTGCTGCGACTCGTGGTTTGACATCATCACTGGTTTACTGTGTCCGGCTGCTGATCTGCAGTGTGAAGGCTCTGGGCTCTAAGAGGTGACAGGCATCCTGCAGAATCTTTTTAGAATTCTCTGACATTTTAAAAAATAAGTGGAAAAATGATTATTTGATTTGATTACTCAAAGATCATGAGGGTAAAAAGCATCCGTCCTACATGTTACTGACAGGGACTTTTTTCTACAAGGGAAGCTGCACTGGTGGCAGAAGGTAGACGCTGGTGTGCTGAATAAATAAGAAAAGTACGAATAAATTAAATAGATGCTAAATGATACTCTGAACAAAACACACTGTGATAGTGACAGTTTGATCCTAAAAAAATCACAGGCTCTAACAAAGCTGTAACATGTGCATTATTAGAGTGAATGTGAATGGCACTGATCAGAATCCTGCTGTGATGCAGACGCTGCCACAAGGAGGGATTTAATGTCACACATGGATAACTTAAATGCGGCATGCTGATAAGTGGGAGGTTAGAGCTCAGCCTAACAAGATTAATAATAAAATGACTTGTGTTTCCAAGACATGTGCAGCCAGCTGGTTCATTTTGCTCCCTGTTCATTTACCCAGGCAGAGTTGGACTGGTTGAGCTGGTTGAGCATCACCACAGAGGTGCAGCCGTAGTCGTACACGAGCCTCCAGAAGTCAGTGGTGGTACCGGGCAGTGGGTGTGGTGTCACCACGAAGGCAGCGGGCCGGAGGAAGCTGTCTGCGAGTGCTGCGTTGATGTAGTTACTGCTCTCTCCCTCAGTGGTGACGAGGAAGGCCAGCGAGCGGTCCGGTGGAAGCACGTCCATGCTGCGGTTCTTCTCGCGGTTCCTTGGCATCAGAGAGATGCTGCATTCCTCCACATCCAGGTGAGGAGTCACAGAGTTGAGAGTCTGAGGAGGCAGGAGGAGGAAGATGAGGATGAGTGTGTGTTTGAGAATGTGTTAAGATAAGATAAAATGAAAGACTGAAAAAAGTATTTTGATAAGAGGAGACAGACAGTGGAACAGAAATGGGATCAAAGGGAGACGGACAGAGGGATGAGATATTCTCCACTCAGACAGTCTGGATGTTCATACTTGACAAGCACAACTATCTCCAATCACATCTCCCAAAAACTTTAAAACATTTATTATCAGTAAAAACCTTCACAGGACTCATGGATGTAAGGATTTAACACACTTTCATTACCAATAGGCGTATTAGCTAGCAGTGGAAATTAAAGTTTGCAGAATGCTAACTCAGTAGAAGCTGTCAGTGGTGTATTGTGTCTAATTATGAACTTTCTGTCCAGACAAGACTCATGAGCAGGACTGAGAGATGAGAACTGTGCTAACTGTAGAAGAGGAATTATTGTGGCCAGGACCTGCTGTCACCTCACAGCCAGAAGGTTCTGGGTTCACATGTCGGTCTGGGTCTGTCTGTCCAGAGCCTCACCAGTTTATATGATATAAATATATAAGACAAAAACTAAATCTGTGGCTGTTAGAAATCATTAAACTTACAGCAGAATAATAACAGTGTTCCTCTCTGTATTGAGTTCTTTCACTGTCTTTATTCAAAAGAATGTTTTTTCAGCACATTACCATCCATTTTGTTTCTTGTTGCCTAGTAACAGTGTTCACACTAATCAGTATATTTACCACTTGAAAATCAAGCACATGATCACGGCTGTATTGCCGGGACACAAACATGCGTTGTGACAGAACCTTTAACCTTCACAAACTTCTGACTTGCATCTTTTAAATGAGGTGACCGTGCTGTCAGTGATCTCCTGTTTCCAGTTAAAAACACTCTGACTGAACCTCATCCGTCCTGTTCCAGAGCAACAGGAGGCCAGTGTGCCATCAGGCCACTATTATATGGAGCTATTACAGCTAAATGACAGACTGTGGTTTATGTATTAACAGCAAAAGTTCCACCGGAAGACAAGTGAAGTCCATATAATGAGCTGTGAGAAGTGCATGGACCTGATGACAGAAGCAAGTGCACCAACAAGGAGTCAGTTATGGTTTGATTGGTCAAAGGCATCGCTTGCATTCTAGTGGTTGGTGACTTTTGACACGGTTGTTTTATAAAAATCTGAGAGTGAGAGCTTAAATCTAAAAGCACAAGTTTGCAGTCTGAGTGCAAGAAGAGACACTGAAAAGCCCGCCTTGCAATTTGACAAGACTGGTTCCTTAGATGTGTTACATATATATATATATGTAATAATAACAATAATAATAATAATAATAATAATAATAATAATAATACATGTATAATGTTGGAGCCCTCGACTGCATTGTAAATCACGGCGTGTCTTCCAGGAAAATGCTATATGAATGTTAACAAGATAAAAAAAATCAATAAAATAAAATAAAAAATCTTTTTCAGTGAGTTTTCAAGGGGTTAAAATTCTGTCTGACATGATGATTAAAACTGCCAGAAACCACAAGAAATATCTGATCCCCTCCTCCTGCTCAGTGTTATTCTCCAAACATGTGTCTTACCTGAAACTCCTCTCTGAGCTGTGACGTGTTGCTCTGAGAGTCCACCTTCAGCATTTCCTTATAGGTGAGAGCAAACTCAGTAACAGGGATGGCCGTCTCTCCACACAGACAAGCCTCCAGGATGGCATCATGGATGAACACATACTGCTCCTGAGAGAAAGGCAGCAGGGAAACAAATACAGCTTCACCAAAGTCCCACAAAACCGTCACCGCACTCATGAGTGCCCTAACCGGTAATTGGCCACTTGTGAAGAACAATGCTGAATTTAATTACTGCTGTTGAATGTTGACTAATAGTCAAAGCTGTCAGACATTCTTCACATTGCCATGCCCACTCTCAGGCATTGTTTCCAAGCAGAAAATTGTCCATAAAATGGGGTAAAAAGTGCAGAAAACACATGAGAGGAGCCAAACGCTGCCCACACACCAAATTTAAATAACGTCACGAGCTGTGCAATTAATGAGAAAACTAGGAAATTTGTTTTGACATTCATCCAAACAAAAGATCAAAGAGGCGAGGATACATTGGAAATTACAGGCATAAAACTGTCCCTCTTCCAACTTATTTATCAGTTTTTATTCATTCTATAATTGCAGAAATATGTTTTCAGCTGCTAGACAAGCTCCAGCTGAAAGGTGAAAAAAAGAAATGAAAAGGGGGATAAGTACCATTGTTTTGGTTTTACTGTCTCCAATTCCAGGCTTATTAAGAGGAGAACTATTTTCCAACTTTTAATAGTTTTATTTATTCTAATAATGAGTGTGTTTCTCTGGCTTGTTTACTTGAAGACTGGGAGTTCGTACTATGCTCACGTTAAACAGAACCGCTCACAGCTTGTGTTTATTCACACAGTGGAACCAAATATCTCAGTAAATGGATGATATCTGTCTTTAATAAGCATCAGTCTGACTGTATTGTCGAACACTAATATGGCTTCTTCTTTGCTAATGAATGTTTTAACTTAATTATGTTCTTCTAATGAGTGTGGAATCATTCTGACACCAAACGGCCTTGAAACAAAAAATACAGTTTTACCAGTGAAGAACTGAAAAGAGCTGCACATTCAGTTCCTCTGTGTTCTGCCTCTCTGCTGTGGACACCTCTGCTGTTCACCTGAGTGTCTTCACCTGTGGTGGGGTTTGCATTCACACACTCATCTCTGCCTCCATATAAGCTGACTTCAGACCACAACACGATGCTGGACCATCACCTCCTGCTCAGTTAGTTGTTCTTGCTCTGCTCTGATTCTGCCTTGCTCCATGCCCTTCACCTGTTGTAACCCGGGTTCTGTTCTGTGCTCTAGCTGGACCCGCTCCGCCACCACTGTGTAGCCTGGTCAGTCCCTCATCACTTCTTCACCTGCAATCCTGTCGTTCATCGACGGTCTCCTGGTTCATTCTCACCTGGTCGCTGCAGCTGTCCACCTCCATTCTGCTACGTCACCCCACCTGTCCGTGAGTCTCAACCTCCTGTTGGGTTTCCAGCTAAACTATATTTCTTATTGTTCTCGTGAGTGTTGATTTTTTGCTGTTCTCTTCCTGGCTTGGTGCCCAGTGTGGGTTGAGTATATCAGTAGTATCGGTTAGTATTCTGATTCCTGTTGTCTGTTTATTTGTCCTCCATTTCTGTGGAGTCACTGTTTAGGCCCTTGTTAAATTCAGTTTCATGCATTTACTCTTATTTGCCCTTAGCGTCAGCTCTGAGTTCAGAGTTCCTGTTGGCTTTGACCGAGTTTCCGTTTCCTGTATATACTGTGTTCATAATGTCAATAAATCTTTTGTGTGAACTACGCTGGTCTCTGCTGAGTCTTTGTCCACACCTGTTCACATGCAGGACTTTTACTAAGTCCTGTATGTGACCACTTTTTCCCCCCACAGTCATATGAATGCTGTTGCAGAAGCTTTTCCAGACTGAAAAGAATAAAAATCCAGTAGAAAAATTTATGATGTTTAAATAAACCAGTGATGAAAAATGTGGGACACCAGCAGCTTCACACTGCAGATTAAAGCTGTGAGCTTCTGGTTAATGTCAGCATGGCCTCCCTCACCATATTCTCTCCCTCCCACTCACTTCAGTCTGGATCATGTTGATGCGACGGGAGCAGAGGGTCTTCACACAGTTGTAGATGTCCACGACTCCTTCACACTCGGCCATATCCAGCATGACGTCCAGCACGATGTAGCAGCCGGTCCTGCCTGCGCCCATACTGTAGCAAAGGAGAGAGGAGAGAGGATGGACAGGCCTGAAATACCAGTGAAATAAAACTAAAGATTCAAAAAGGGAATACAGTGACTATTATTTAAAAAATCTTCCGTATATTCTGGACTATAAGCTGCGACTTCTTTCACACGCTTTGAACGCTGCGGTTTAAACGATAATGAAGCTAATTTATGGATTTTTACGTGTTTTCTGAATTTGCCTCGAGATGAAAGTGACATTAAGAGTGACAATGAAGGAGAGACAAAGTGATTCTGAGGCTGTTCGGGTTAGGGTTAGGGTTACACTGAAGACGACTTTAGTGGTTTTAGTGCTGGAGGAAGATGAAGATAGCCATCAGTGACTTTTCCTGGTAGCTGCTGTATTTTTTATTTTCTTAACCAGCCGTGTTACAGGAACTGTCTGGAAAAAAGCATTTATGGTATTTGTGTATGTTACAGGTACGTATTTAATTAAAAGCTTAAAAAAATCTTTCTGTGTAAATATCTCACGTTACAGCTAATAGACATGTGCAGCCTATGTATGTATAAAATGTGTTTTCTTTTTAAAGTCAGTGCTTGCGGCTTATATTCAGGTGCGCTCAATAGTCCAGAAATTACGGGAAGTTGAAGTTTGAAAGTTCAAATCCTGAATTAGCTGAAGAGTCTGTACTGGCCTCTACCGTCCATGTCGTGGTCCAGCGCTGCTATAAAGGCCTGTGCAGGTCTTTGTCAGTGCCTTAGCACTCTCTAGGTGAGGCTTAGCTACTTTAAAATGTTGCCTGCTCGGGGATATTTTAGTCCACAAGCACACATTTGTCTTCATACTTCCACCTGTTCATTGTTCTGCCACTGAAAGGAAAAATAATCTGTCTGCTCTGCATCGGTGTTGTTGTTGTTAAACAAGCACATCATTTATGATAAAACGGAGGAAAAACAAGAACTGGTGCTTAATCCAAATTAGAAACCCACAATCCTAGAGCTGGCACACACTAGTAGACCAACTCTAAAGCAAAAATAGAAATCGACAGATCCTGGAATCTGCAACCTCTCCAGGATATTAAAACTCCTGCACAGCCCATGTTCACATTGTTTATGCTAACCTGACTTCTACCTGTGATGCTTCTGACAGTCTAGTAGCAGAGCATGAATTTGTTGGACTGACTTGTTAAAATATCAAGCACAAAGCAATCAGGTTATGAAAGGTAGAATGTACAAAAACAAAATGAGGTGGTTGACTCATGAGCTGGAGAGAATCTACGACCAGGCTACACTTGTGCTGCTCACATGCTGACGTCACTTCTTTAAAATGAACTGTGTTAATTATAAAGTGATGCTCATGATCAGCTGTTTCTTCATGAACTGTTTGTGCCACTAGGGAATAAAAACATACACATCAGTGCCAGTAAGTGGAATAAAACCTCTCAGTCTCAGTTTCATTAGAAAGTATGACTTGGCTTGTTTGTAAAAAATCTGTGAGAAGCCAAAATGTAAAATGCAAAGTACAGTTTTAAAACCATCCAAAGCCCTTTTCAGACACAGAGATACGTATTACTGCTGCTTCATCAGCCTGTTGCTCTGACAGGATTCTGTCATTCAGACAGAGGCCACGTCTACATTCATGCTGCCATGTGAACAAAGTGTTTGATCTGCAGCTGACAACATGTGACTGTTTGGAAGCTCAGCTGTCACCGTGTGACTTGTTGTTAGATCGATCCCGTCTCCATATCTGGGATAATCAAGAATTAATGAATGAAGTTAGCGTTTTTTCATGTGTGTAAATATGCTTTGCTCTGATTCTGCAGGTATTTAATAACCTGAATGAATACAACATTTATAGAACTTATTCTTATTAAAGACGTCTCCAGGCCCTGGTTGGGTCGGTGTAGTGCCAGTGATGATACAAGATGACAAATAGGTGTGAAAGTGAAGCAGCAGCCTGTTTACATTTAATATATCTGTGCTAATACGTTAGATAATTACAGGAGCACCAGTTACTCTGATAAATCAGAACACTTTATTGCTGCTTCTCACATTAATAATTTGTGCATTCTCCTGTTCATTTTTCTTTATTAAATGATTAATTTGGGGAGCTTTTACACCTGCAGTTTGGTTTGGTGCAGACTAAGGACAAGAAGTAAAATCTGGGCAAAATTTGCAGTCACATTCAGTTTTAACAAACCAACCCAGAGCTGGTTATTCAGACTGACAGATACGTCATTAATAAAACACTTTTGTCTGTCATCCTGCATCATTAACTCTGCATGGACCCATGAGGGGAAATAAATGACACTGACTGACAGCAGGTCATGCTGCACTTTACTATCAGCATTTTTAGGATTGTTAGACCAATCAGCTGCATGGTGTAATGACACACTGGTAGGACCAGGAGGATTAAGGGGAGTCTTGTACAGCAGGATCGCTGAGGGGTATTACTGCAAGATCGCTTTGCCACACTTCTTTAAATGATCTTAATAAGTGGCATTAGCACAGCTATACTGTTCACAACGATGGCTTTGTATAAGATGGCTCCCTGAATACAATCAGCAGACTGACTGAATGGGAATAAAGCTTCATGCCATAATCACATATGACTAAATGTTCTGGTCAGTCCATTTGTTATCAGACAGCTCGCCTCACCAGACCATTCAGTACCACAGAATAGACTGGCTGCACCTTGGTATCACACTGTGGTGGCTTCTTTGTATTTCTATAAACCAACCACATCGGTGTGAATCTTCAGTGGAACATTTGCACACAGGGAGACAAGCACTGTATTTAAAATGGATAATCCATCCAGAAATAACAGCAGTTATACAGCAATCCACTTCCTCTGCAAAAGTTTACATTTCCAGTGTGGTGGGTTATTGTTTCCCACAGTAAAGAGGATTTTGGAAATGGTACCATGCAGATAGCAGAGAGAGAGACGAAAGCCGGCTGACATGAGCTGCTAATGGCCGGCTTATACCTGCATCCTCCATCCATGAGTCAGACCATCAGACAACAACAGAGTCCACTTGCTGCTGACCAAGATCCTCTTCTTAAAGGTGCTGTCAGTGTAAGATGTTCTGTCCAAAGTGGATTTCTCTCTTTTTGATAGGAAAACTTTTGCAATATTTCCTTGTCCTCACAGTGTTTTATATTTTTTTGTAAGGAAAATTTCAGAATATTAACAGATGGAACAAAAAGAAACTGGTGAGCAAAGTTTATTTAGCAAAGGGGATGAAGGTCCTTCTCTGTTTAAAATCCTGCTCCCTTGTGAATGTTTTGCTTTCTATGTGTGAAATACCACATTATATTTTGTTATCATCACTATTGTGCTCTCCACTGACACATACACAGCACCAAGAGGTTGACAGTTATTTTAGGAAATGTAGAAAAACACAAACTGCAGTTGAAGTAAACTATGCAAATGAAGTCTATTGCACAGCGTGGAACACGACAGAAACAGGATATTTAAAAGAATATCTGAGGCTGGAGCTACTGACAGCTGCTACATTAGATGCTAAGCTCATTATCAGGAAGGAGGTGGAGCTACCTGCAGTGGACCACCACAGGTCCAGCATCAGGAGGTGTTGAGGCCTTGACCCGACGCAGGAAAGCCAGCAGGCCGGTAGCATGGTAAGGCACGCCATGCTCAGGCCAGGAGGTGAAGTGGAACTGGCACACCTCATGTTTGGCAGGGTAACCTCTCTACGAGACACAGTTAGGCACATTTATTGTTATTGTTATAAGACGTGTTAATAAGTTGAAGCCAATTAAACAAGCCTGATGCTAAATGAGGGCTGTACTGCTGGGTACACATGACACGGTTACTCTGCTCAGACAGTTGATATAAAAATAATAAGAGCATGACTCACCCTCTCCATGGCAAAGGTGCGCACTGTGTACTCTGCCAGTGTTTCTGTCTTCAGCAGTGTTATCTTAATGTCACCGTAGAGCTCAGTGTCATCAGGCCAATACTTACAGCACTTCATCTGGACAAACAACAAAGTTCAAAAAGAGTCACAAACAGATATTTACAGCTGATTTATCTCAACACTACGATGCCTCACACCACCAGGTCCTGAAACTTCAACAATAAGACAAACTCCATTGTTTTAATAATGTTGTAACCTCTGGTAAATACTTATTTACTTACTTATATATCTCTACCATGAAACCAGAGACATGTAGGCTCTGGTACCAAGATAAGACATGTTCTGATAGGATTTCTTTGTCCATTTCATACTCTTGAAAACAGAACTCAGATTTGGTGATTGTGTTAAGTTCTCCTCTCTGGCACTGACCAGTAACCCTCCACTGTTGTGTTTCTCAGACTGCTTTATTTTCTGTTGCTGCAGTGTTTTTTGGGGGCATCGACATTTTCTTCAACTGCTGGCTTCATGGTCTCAACATTTTCTATTGCTTCAGGCTGCTTCAGTCATTTTCTGATGTAAAAATGCTTCATTTTCTCACCAACAAAGACTTGGACAGACTATAACAGCCTATGGGGGGGGTGCTGTGGTTCCACGGCCATGTGGAAGAATGACATGTTAAGGGCTTTAATTGTACCGGCCCTTCCAGTTTATGAGGTCTCCATTTCAGCAGTGGAGAAGCTGGACAGAGGAGTTACAGCTTCCATCAAAAAGCGGCTTGGAGCTCCACCATAGGCCTGTACTCAGCAGTGGGAGGAACATTTAATATAACAGGTCACTATATTCACACTGGCTTTCATATACATCAAAGCTTTGACCTTGGACCACAGCCACCAAAGCAAAAGATGATCACTCATGTTCAGACTGCAGCAGCCATGAAACAGAACACAGCAGCACCTCTGATATACAGTGACTGATAAAGGCAGCTCCAGAAATACATTCACTACATCTATCTTCACAGGTGGCTGAAGAGGTCACAGGACAAAGGGAAACCTACCCTGCCCACTTCCACCAGCTTGGTGATCATGACAATACTGAAGCAGTTCTCCTGCCAAACCATCCGCCAGAAATCGTAGATCATCTCCTGCTTGGGGCCTGCAGAGCAGAAGATATACAGCAGAGGTATAGGTGGGGGAGTGGGAAGGGTAAAAAAAAGCGAGGAGAAAAGATCAGGATAAGGAGGGAGGAGAGATGAGTCATAAGTCAGAGAAAATAGCAGCAATAACCATCAATGTAGAGGCGCTGTGTAATCCATGCCAGGGAATAGACTAACAATGTGTCATTCATGAACTATTGCCCGCTCTCTGTTCTCCTGATACTACGGAGAAATGTCATTTCAATACACCCACAAATCCTCAGCCATTGTGTAAACAAGCTCCTGTGTTGCACCAGCGGCTGACACAAATCACAGCCCCCTGGAGAAGATGACACTTTCATTGATTTCATTACACTGTGGCGTAGATAATATCACCAGGTCCTCCTTCATACTGACTCTTCTGCCAAATACACTACACCTCTCTCAGTGAACATGGTGTCTATTCATTCCTACCTACGCTGTTAGTTTAATAGGAATATCATGTTGGACCTGACACTGATGACTTCATGTGTAATGCTGATTCCAAACAAACCACCAAGTCTTGATATTTTATGCTTTTTACACTTTTTTATAATAAACAATGTATTGCTCCTCGTATTGGTCTGTAAAGTCATTCTAATATGTTTTATCCTCTGTGCTCCATTTCTCTCAAAAACTATTTAAAAACATCGATGTATGAACTGGTTGTCGTGTTCCTTCGGTACTGTGAGCAGTGTGCTGTATTTTAACTCAGTCCCACATAAACTATCCCGTTGCTAGAAATATGCCCCAGAGCACCAACCCACTGCTGAGAACAGTCTCCAAATAAATGTTCTATTTTCTCCTGTCTGAATAATGCTCGCAAAACTCTTTTAAAGAACTTAAGAAAAAATGTTTTGAAAGATTTGTGATGTGAACAATGAGCTTTGGATTGGCTGCCACAGACACACTACCTGTATGTGACAGGTGAGCCATCATGGAGGCGTCTTAAACTTGTATTCTATCCAACAGTCAGCAAGTGGCGACTTGATTGTTTACGGTCTCAAACCCTGGTTTCAAGACTTGCTGTTTGTTTTGTAAATCATGGTCCCATTTATAGTAAAATAACAAAACAGAGCAGGACATACTTAAGGGTGGTGCAACATTGGTACTGACGGGTCGCTGCCTATTTTGCCTCGTGTCTTGGGTTAGTAGTCAGAACCAGCTCTAGCTCACTCCATCTGGTGTCACAAGGCCAACAGGACGTCTGCCTAACTCCAGATTTGAGGCTTCAAAATCAGAATCCACAAACCAACGTGTGACGTCACAGCTGCTACATCCACCTCTAACACAGTCTAAGCATAGACGAGGTATACAACGCACTAAATAAATATTCCAATTAGGGCCAATGTGAAGCAGGAATTCCTCTGCTCAGAGTTCATCACTGACCAACAGGTTTACATTATCCTAATAATCTAAACATGGAAGCAGTGTGCTCAGAAAGTCATTATTCTAGCCATACACTATTTATTTCTTTTTATTTTGTTGTGCTGAGAGTTGGTCGATCCCCTTCTGTCCTGTCAATATTAATTCAACCTCCAAATTCATTCAATCAAAGTCTGGCTGATGAACAAACATTTCACTGCATTCTCTGATTTGCCACTCGTATAGTTCTACCAAGTCCTTCTACTTTTCATTGGATTTATTTACATTCAGAGAAGTAAGAGAAACACAAGCCTTTTCCTTTAAAGTCAACTGTGTGATAAACACACAGCCAAACGAGATGTGACAGTCAGGAAGATATGACTGAATACTTTGGTGCCAGATGAGAAACAAATTGAAAGAGCTTTTACAGGAAGGCTAGCAAATGGGGCATTGCTATAATCCATCCTGCTGATGACAAAGGTGTGGAAGAGGGCTTCACAATCTGCCTGAGACACAAAGCTTTGGATTCTCAAAATCCAAATTCATTTTTTGGAAAGGATAAAAATTAAATGAAAAAGGCAGCACAGGCTTCTCAAGGCTTTTTTCCTCCACACATGAACAAATAGAACGAAGTATACATTAGTTTGTTGTTGCTTGTTTGTACTGCTTTTTCTTTTAGTTGTTGAATAAACAGGTATGCCTCAAACTATATGCCCCAGGGCAAACATGCAAAGACCGATGAAGGCTAAAAAATAAATAGGAGAAGCAGGAACAAGCTTACTGTTAATAACAGGGAACTGCACTGCCTGACAACAGCCTTCATAACAGCAAGATACTGGTCTGTATCGACTCCAGTCAACCCAAGGTGAGCCGACACAGGTTGTGTTTGTTGTAATATGCACACGTGGGCAGCTTCTTCCCTCCTCTTCACACGGTCATCTGCAGCTCCCTCTCCAGTTTGCAATCACTGCTGCAGGCTCTACGTGTATTAGTGCTACGAGATGTTAATTTCTCAGCAGCAGCAGGAGAAGGGTGCTAATGCAGCGCCAGAGGGACGGGCCAGTCAGCTGAGAGACGGATGATGTGTGATCCAGCAGCTGGGTGAATCTGTATGCATAGCACAACACGCTGCTGCTCTGGACTGGGGCATTCAGAGTATGCTTGGCATTTCTCCTCCCCGTCCGCCTCCCCCTTCATCCACCTCCCCCCGCTACCTCATCTCTGGACATAATGGAGAGTTCGCCCACAGCACCTGCTTCCTCGTGCAGAAGCATCGCTGCCTTAAGACTCATCTAAGATACGACAAATCAACCTCGACCTGCCGCCACAGCCGGCCACCCAGGGCTCACACATGCAGAGCATGTTGCACAGAGTGTGAGGGGCAAGTGACAGGTTTAATAATGCCTGGTATCCACATGGTGTGTTTAAGACAGTGCATGTGAAGACACTCTGTAGTACATGTGTCTTAGAGTGGAATGAACTGAAGTTACTTTGGCTGCTATAATTGACTGTACTTTGGTACATCCTTTAAAACAGGGTCTTATTGTCATGTTATAACCATCATTCTAGGTTAGATTTGCAGGTTATTAACTTGGTACCAGACACTGAAATGCAAATGTGAATGAAACACCTCAGGTCATAAAAACATAACCAACAGAGTATCATATATATATATATATATGAGCCTGTCATCAACACAGACAATCAGATGAATCAAACTGTTGAACCAGACACCAGTGATGGAGGTGTTTGCTGATTTGAATGAATGCTTTAGTCTTCTAGCCAGGCTGTAACCAACAACAAATTAACCAACAGCAGGAAGAGGAAAGTGAACTCAAACAGTGTCCGTGTGAAACTTTCATCCATCGATGCAGAGCAGTTCTCTCAAACTAATGTCAAACTACTGCTCTGGGTAAATGAGTTATTAAAGTAAACTTAAGTACTTGGTCATAATGGGCTCGGCAGATATCCAATAATAAATGACTTGGATTGGGCCCAAAGAAAACTTGGGGGCATCCTGGTGCATTATGGGTGGAAGGAAGAACTGCAGAGAAGAATCAAGAGGAAACCAGCAGAATATAGAAAAAACAGACATGCAGGTAAGAGTGAGAGTGAAACAGTCTCTGTGACAGAAGGAGTGTGTATGTGCAGGAGAGAATGCTATGCAGCCTTATCTCTGCTGGACAGGCAGCTTTAATAATATTCTGGAGCAGAACACATCACTATTCTCTATTCTTCAGGTTGACAGCAATCAGTAAAATTGTCTTTTCTGGCTTTAAAACTTGTCAGGATAATAAAAGTCCTGGTCTAGTCAACTTTGGGAACCCTGTCCTGTTTAACTAGATGTTGTCTCGTTATCGAAACGATAGAAATTCTGACACTCAAGGACTCTGACCGTGTCCCAGATTACTCCATATTTATGTACTGGCTGCGCTGCATTTACTGTCAATCATTCTGTTTCAGTGTCTGAAGTCTAAGTGTCTGCATCTATCCACCACATCAGTGTACACAACAACTCTACAATGAAACAGAAAAGCACTTTCTTCTAATAATTCCACGATACGATGCATTGCATTATATGTATAACCCACATGTGAAAATGACTCAACAGCTGACGATGATGATGCAAAACAGGGATAATGATGATGAGTGAGTGTCAGCAATCTCAATTTTAGTCTAAAAATATAGTATTCAGCGTCTATTATATATGAAGTAGGGAATGTGAGAGCAAGGAGGTCACAATGATATAGCACATATTTTGTTCTGTTGAAAACAAGAAATCCAGATTAAAATGAGCTGCGCATGTATGTGTCAATGCATTTGGTGGTTAAGTGCATTAAATGATGTGAATGGAAAAATACCACATAACACATTAGTACATCTGTAGAGGAGAGTAGTTTCTAAAAAGTGGAAGTGTTCAGTAATAGCTGCTGTTTGTTTTCACAGCTGTTTCTAAATAAACTGCTGATATTTATCATAAAAAAGGAACATGTCACTTAGTGCAGCAGTCTGCTTCACTGATGCATTTTAACCATTTCTGGACAATAACGGTGCTCAGTGGGACAGAGCTATAAGCCAGGGGGGTCCAGTCCTGGTCCTGGAGGGCCACAGTCCTGCATGTTCTAGATCAGGGGTGTCCAGTCCTGGTCCTCCAGGGCCACAGTCCTGCATGTTCCAGATGTGTCCCTCTTCCAACACACCTGATTCAGATGATCAGGATGGTTATCAGGCTTCTGCAGTGCTTGATGATGAGCTGATCATTTGAATCAGGTGTGTTGGAAGAAGAACCATCTAGAACATGCAGGACCGTGGCCCTCCAGGACCAGGACTGGACACCCCTGCTATAAGCTATATCAGACTTGGAAACACACAATATTTGTTAGTAGAATCAATTTATTGTTGGTTTTGGAATTTAATGGAGTTATTATGCCTTAAACGATGGAATCCACCAATCCTGTCCGTTAGTACTTTATAAGTTGTTCTTCCTCAAGTTAAATATGACTCCTACTTAAGAGTGACACTTTAGTGCACCTGTCGACACCTTTGTGTGCAGAAAGAGCAAAATGTGAACGAGAGAATTTTTAAAGGTTACTTTTGAGAGAATTGAGACCAAAGTGAACGATGGGAGGAAATCAGAGGAGGATTACTGAGTGAAAAACACATTCAGTGAATAAACAGGATCAGAGGCGGCAGAGAGTAAAGAGAAAGTCTCACTCTCTCTCAGTGTCTTTCTCTCTCTTTCTGTCTCTCTTTTTGGGAAAGTGTGAGCCGCTTGGGGAATGCAGTCTGTATCGTATATCAAACCGACATCAGAGACACCGAGCACCACACATGCAGATGGCAGGGAGGGAAGACATGGAAGCTAAACTTCACAGACAGTCGGTAGTGCTGTAGTGCTGATTGACTGACAGTTACAGTCCATTGTTATGGGAGCCTTTCTCACAGATGGAGGAAAGTGATTGTTTGTGGTGGAAATCCAGATGTGAGCATGATGCAACATCGCTGCTTTGTTGTTCTCACATTAATAATTCAGCAAACTGATTTTCATATTGTCAGCTGGGCTTCTGTGTGAAGAATGTCACAAACATAAACAACAGCAGCCCAACAGTGCTGCTGGGTGTGTTACTGTACACTCACCTTGAGTGGCGATGAAGTGATTCGATCGCTGGTAACCCTGTATGACAGAGAGGGAAGAGAAGAGTGAGAAAGAGATGAGAAGAGAAAGTAATAATTACAGAGGCACATGATGAAGTGAGACTTGGGGACCTCTAACTCTCAATCCCACCCCTTCCATTCATTCTCTTTCTCCATTTTCAGCATCAAGTCATCTCTTATTCATCTCAGAGCTGGGCTTGATGTCAGCACTCTGCTAAATTTCTGCTCTGCCTTTGACTGAAGAGCTTTCTGTGAAAACTAATCTGCGCTATCGGCTGTTGACACTCTGCTTAAAACACATGAGCATGTTTGACCAGCCAAAAATCCTTTGGTCTGTTTTTAGGTGCCAGCTCTGGGTGAAGGATCACACTTGAATTATAATGCATAGAGAAATGGCATTAATTCAAGTTTTTCTCTGCCTGTCTGTGAGCCAGGTCATTACATGCAGAGAGAGGGAGCTGCATTTCAAAGGCGGCCCAGCGTGCAGTGCTTTGCATGCAGCCAGGCCCGCTGATCAAAGCTAGATTGACAAGTGAGGGATCTTCAGCTCTGGGAGTAATTCTACCTGAGTGACACTGACTGATCTGGCTGTCTCCTTTCTGCTCCGCTTGGCATTAGTGCAGTTATGATACAAGGCTATTAGTGGTGCCCTGGCCCTCCACCAGGCAAACACTGTGGGCCGAATGTAAAGCAACCGAGCATGATAGATCCCTGAAATCAAGATGAGTGTGCACGCTCATCACTCACAGGGAAAGTGATTCCAACTGTTGTATTCAGTAAGCAATTGTAAAAGTACTATATAGTCAAACCGCCTCCTACACACAGTGATGTACATGTATGCACTATTCAGCCAGGCAGGAACACAAACTACATTCCCTAACTGTCAGGCTGGAGAGAGAAGTAGAGATGGATGGCCATCGCTATGAAGGAGTGCAGCAGCCCTCATTCCCATGAGCCTCTGTTGCTGAGCTTCCCTGGGCTGACCAGTTTCCTGTCTGTCACCTTGGCAACCACATTTTCCAACAGCAGGCGAGCAGAAAAACATCAAGCGAAGTGAATTCACAATGGATTGAAAAGAAAAAAAAGGAAAAAGGAAAACATGCAGAGTTACTTGAGATGTCTAAATCTGATCAGTTCTATCAAAAAAGACAGAAAAACAATTTGTAATTTGTTTTGCTTTAACAAATCAGGCTCACTCTAACTACAACCTCTGACAAAGGAAATCTGGCATCGGTGTGAGCAAATGAATGATCTCATACTCATCATGCATCTCAGAATCGTTCATAGGAATCCTGCAGAAACTCTAATCATCCTCACAGAGACTACTGGGGGACGTCAGAGGGACTTCTGAGAACTCCTCTGAGTATAAAGTCGTTCTGAAACACCTCCAGCTTCTATGGAGCTTTCTGATCAACAAATTCAGTCTGCATTTGAAAACCAGCTGCATGACAAGTGAAATAACAGAAACAGAAGAAAAAACACCAAAATATAGATTTTAACAAATCTCACAAAAGCTAAACACATTTGATCTGATGTTTTACCTTTTTTTGTTTTAGTTTCCATGGGAACCAGATGTTTGTGTAGAATGTGTAATTAATTTCCACCACAAGCAAAGCTGTTGTACGATTCTTGTATCCATTCAATCTCACTGACGAAGTGCTTTCCTATTTGAAATGTTTATTTATTTGACAAGTTTTCACTTCATTGAACAGGTGTGCACATGTGAATGCAATCGTTCACCTGCTTTCACTCCTGATTGGATGAGTTTCTCTGTCATTTGTTTCTGCTTTAATCTCTTAAGTTTGGTCAGATGTGTGCCACTCTGCAGCCAGGTACAACTAGCTCCTGACCTGCTTTCACCTGTATTTATGACAGCACAACCTCAGCCAAAAATCAATCTATGCACAGCTTTCATGCAGAGTTGTAAACTTTGATGTGCAAATTTATGCTGTTATCAATTCCAGACTTGCAAACTTATAAGAGCTCTGATTTATGATCGAAACCGAGCAGGTCTGACTCCCACAAACGTTCCAAAACAGCTGAACTGCTTTCAAAAATCTGTTTTGAAAGAAATGTATTTTCTGCTGGATTACACTTTTTTAATATCACAGATTTGTTTTAATCGACATATATCCTCCTGCCGGTTGTTATTGCTCTTTTAACTGTTGCTCCTTTTCATCCAGGCACTCATACAGGATGTCAGATGGGGGGTTCTGGTCACCCTGTTCATGCAGAACATGGAAGAGAAGCTTCAAGCATGTTGCTACAGGGTCGTGTTTTAACCCAAACCTTGATCATTTCTGAAACCTAATCACATAGTTTTGGTACCTAATCAAGGCTAGCTAGCATGTTACTGTTAGCCACAAAAACCTCGTCAGCTGCCCTGTAGTTCCTCCCTATGCGTGACACAACGCCCAGCAACACCTCTTTCATAAAGAAACTACATTTGCGTCACTTCCTCGTGTGACCTGGCACTTGGTCTCTTGCTCTGCTCTGAGATGCTGGATAAAGATGGGCTCTTACGTCGGTGAGCTTCTGGCAAAACTGTCACTGAAGGTTTTTATAGAAGCTCCTGTCTCACTGGGCACGAACACGAGCTTTGATCTGACCTGCTCATTCCTCCTCTGTAGCATGCTCTCAGCCCTTTCATAGGACAGCCTGATGTTAAGCAAGAACCAGGTGAGCATCTGACTACGGATGAAAGAGGACAGAGAGACTGCTGCAGTCAGTTTGGAAAAAGAAGGTAAAAACTCAGGGGAAAAGTGATGGCTGAAGGCAGAAGGGCTCAGCAGCTCAGAGAGAAAAAGGGAAGGAAGACCTGGTGTTGGAAGGAAGCCACGGAGGGCTGGCAGGGACAGAGAGAGGGCAGCATGAAAAGAAAGAGGAGATGGAAAGAGAAGAGAAGCAAGGTACTTACTTCCCTGTTTATCCGAATCTAAGAGATGCCAAAAGGTTGAAACCGAGGGGGACGAAAAACAGAGAGAGAGAAAGAAGGAAAGTAAGGGAGGAAACAAAAGCTAGTTATTGTGATTAAAGACCAGGAAAAGGGGGAAATGAAATGGTTAGAGAGCAGCTGACACTGAGGACCTGTGGACAAAACAGAAACCTGATGTTTGTACAATAAAGACCACAGAGCAGTGCAGGAATCTTTACCATGGTTTTAATATATAGGATATATAATGTACTATTTTTAATAAAAGGCAATGACAAAAAACACCTGCTGTGGCAGGTTTTCATGTGAGGCCACTGATGGCAGAGTTATCCTAGACGTTAACAGTTTAAGGCTGCTTTTCACTGCAGGAACTTACAGGCTCTTTGAAGGCACCCCGGCTGCATGAACCACCCTGTACAGCCCCCTTCAGGGTCATTTTTGGGGGATAAAAAGTACCTACTGCAGGGCAGATACTTCTGAGTGGGTCTTGGTGCTTATTGGTTAAACTGAGAGGAGACAACAGCTTCCCTTCCTCTGCTCTCACCAGGTCTTCGTCCTCAGCTACCAGTCTTCACCTCTAGATCACTACTAATGATGTAAAATTCACCACACAGCCAAAAATAACAAACCTTCCATGTTTCTATTTTCTATGTGCTCATAGAACTGGGGTTACAACACATAACCACTATTTGGTGCATTTTTGGTGCACTCAGAGTTGTGAAAGTGAAAGGCCAGTAATCGGGCCGTTCTTGTAAATGTTTGAGCCGTCTCGTGCCTGCAATGGAAAGCTGCCTGTAGATTACTGTTCAATCATTTCTGTAACAAAAAAGAGCTTCAGGAAAAAACACAATGTCATTCAGTACATCCTACTAACTGCTCAAGATAAACCTTTTCTTCACAAGTGCTTCCCAGGGATGTAGCCCACTTTGGTCGGGTTCACATGCACAGTTTGTGTAAGAAAGTCATGTAGATACTGAAAGATGTAATGATTCCAGATTGAGTAAACACAGGACAGCCTACCATTTGCAAATTGTAAGCATGAGAAACTAAATAGTTTCTCTAAGACGTTGTACTTTTCAGACTGACTTTGGAGCTTCTCATCATCTGGGTAGTCTGTTGACTGACAGATGGTTCAGCCCCTGATGTCCTGGAAAGCTTTTGATTCACTTTAACTCATCAGGAGTTACACACAACACTCTGTGTAGGATACTCGCTGTCCAGACCCGAATACTGCTGCTGTGAATATTATGTCATAGTTTGGTCCTAGTAAAATAAAATGCAGGCATTTTCCAAAAGTCATTTCTCAAAAAATGGAATGCTTTTTTGATCATTAGAGTATAATTAAAAACACTAACTAAAATAAATGAATAAATAGTACATTTAAAAAAAAATCTACATTAGGCCACCGTCCAATTAAAATCCAACACATCTCTGATCTAAACCACTTCATTTCAAACTGAAACTGAACTCCCTTAAAACAACAACTCTCCCCAGTGTCAATGTGTTCATGGTTTTCAGGACGGGTCCGTTTAAACCTCCCTGATTGTCCACTTCTAGTTTTTATGCAACGCTGCTGCACTCCAAGATCTCAGAAACAAACTTGGTAAGTGTTATTATGTGTTATTATGTGTTATTATGTGTTGTTATGTTGTACTGTTTGCTATGTGGCCAAAACTACTAAACAGTGTTTTAATTGTGTAGCTGAATGTTGTACAAACTAAACTGATGATGCCATAAGTGTTATTAAATGGTAGTTTAAGGTGACACAGGACAATAAAGTGAGTCAGACTGTCTCTCCTAAGCGACAAACTAAAGTAGAATTTGTGCATCATTCAAAGAAATGAAGCTTTTTGATTGGTGGGCTCAGCCACGGCAAACATTTCCATCTTCATTACCATTTTATCTCAGTCCAAACCAATTACTGTCCCCAACACAAGTGTTATTGCTGCTACATCCTGGGCACTAGAATAGGAACCAAACAACTACCTGCCAGTGGGTGTTTAACAGCAAAATCACCTAAAAACTAAATGTGAATGGAGCCACTTTTGTGTTACATCAGTCAGCAATAGTTGCCAACAAAAGGATCATATGAAGATTTGAGGCTAAAATGTCATGGCCGGCCTCAAAATAAAATATATGTAAAGCTGCATGTGAATAAATGGGGAGGAAAGTAAAACTTTCCAGTTTAACCTTTTACAAAACCAAAGCTCCATTTATTTCAGTTTCAGCCGCTTCATGAATCATTTGGAATAATTTTGCTGCCGTTCTGAGAGCCAGGGGTCTTGGCATGACATGCAGGCGGTGCTGTAGATGGCACAGCTAATGACAAAAAGGTCCTTGGAGCGTGCGTTCTAATGGAGCCCTCATGGAGCACTAAAGGGGATAAAGTGGCCACACAACACTGTGGCTTTGACGTTCTGCTTTAACTGATGCCACCAGCATATGCTGAGTCAGGCATCCACAACTACTACTGATCAGGACCCTTCTGTCCACTTCACATTTCCTTTTGTTCTGCAAACAACAGCAGAAACAAAGGACGTAATAAACCATTCAGAGACCACAGCATGTTACAGCCTGACAGGAATACTTCAGTAACCAAAAACAGAGGCAAGAGATTTTCAGAACCCCTTAAAGTGACGGTTCCACTGTTAGTGAGCAGAAGAGCTCAGTACGAGCTGTACTGGAGAAAAAGCGACTGTCCTTCAGACACTGCTGGGCCACCTAATGGATCTTAGGGGAGCGCAAACTACTGCCGAGACTGTTGAGGCCCCCTGAAATACTCACTGGAGCTGAACTATAGGTGAGATCAAAATATCTCCCAGTAGATGAAAGGATCAGCTGTGGTATATTGGGTCCAGCTCCAATGTGCTATGGCGCCTTATGAAAGCATTTGGGTGAGTCACAAGGCCTGCTGCTCCAAGCTTATGGGCTCCTGTAAGATCTTTGAAACTACTGCAATAAAATCTCACCTTCAAGCCCATACACATTGATGTAATGCTGTGTTGTGGATGTAGTCATTAAATGATAGTTCAAACTGACTAACAGCATGTGGAGGTGTCCACTGGTCAAGCACTGGGTCAACCACAGCAATGAAAAACGAGCTCATAAGGCAGCGCTGCTGGATCAGCAAGGACAGAGATGAAGGAGCAGGAGGCCAAGCAAGAGGAAAAAACAACACTGAAGATGACTTACGTCTATATAGTTGGCATTGACGTAGTCTGAGCTGGGGTCCGTCAGCAGAGAGTGGAGCTTGACTCGATGGCGGTCGTCTGGAAGACACAAACATAACGTCTATCAGTATGTACAGACAAACCGACAGATCAGGCCATCCTTCTCATTGTTTCTAAACGTCATGTGAAGCTTAAAGGACATTCCTTGTTGATCAAACCTGGTTTAAAGCTCTGCATCAACACAAGGGTTTAGTTTAATCCAGTTATCATTAAAAGAAAAAACACCTAAAACAAGGGTTGCTTTGACTCCCTGCTGAGTAACTCACACAAACCAAACATCTTAGCTCCCTATACATGTGCATGCATTTCTTTAAACCATCACAACTGTCCTGGGTGGTGCTAAGCCCAGGATGCCAAATAGTGACGGGGAAGTGTATCACCACTGGACTGGACCTTCACAGGTTCATATGGTTCAGATGAAATGCAAAATAAATGTGAGGTGACTGAAAAGAATTGTGAGGGGATGCAAAAGTTGTAAAGAAAAAAAAAAAAAAAAGAAAATCTCCATTGATTCTGTATATTACCTCTTCAAATAGGTTTTTCCACCATTAAGGAGCTCTGTGAGACCTCCGAGGTGAAACCCAGGGCAAACAAAAGGTTCACAACTTGCAGAAATCACTCATAGAGATTAAAATAACTGCTACTGCACAACAGATTCTCAGAACTTATGCAGGATTCTGACGTAGATGTCAGTCAGGAAAACTAAACATGTTTAGTTGAAAAGCAGAGTCTACGTGTCTGAAACGACTGATTAATGTTATTTCTACAATGGCTCTGAATCAACACTGAAACTAAGGTATTTAGTATTCCTGCTATCAACGCTAGCATTCATCAATGACATTATAACAACATTTTTTTTTTTTAAAGAATTACCAGTCCTTCTACTGGGAGTAAAAACAATAATTGGGTGGCTTTGGCTGACTTGCAGGATACAAGCAGTGGTGTTGTTAAATGATAATCTACTTTACAGTGCAGGAATAAAACACTTTGTAGGTGCGCTGTAGCCTACAAAGAATGGAACAGAGCCAACAGAAACCTGTAGGCTAAATACATAAATACTCACGACTGAGCAAGCTGTCGTGCCTTCCTTTGGTCTTGTCTTTCTTTTTCGTGACGTCCCAGCCATCGAAAAAACTCTGAAAGTTAAAGTGAGAAAATCACAAGTTAAGTTTTTGAGAAAGATTTTAAAGAAAAAACAAAACAGGGACAACGCGTAATGGGACCAACGTCACTAATGCACTCCAAAGTGTTACCCTAAGGTTGTCTGAGGAGCTTCAGTATTATAGCATCTTGCCAAGTCATCAACAGACATCTGCCACAACACAGCGAGGAGAGGCTGAGACGATGCAGGCGGCGCTGAGAGATGGCTGTGGCCTTGAGACGAAGGAGGGCCTCTGCAGTCATTCTCATTCTAGATGCAGCGTGAGCTCGTTGCTCCAAGAAGCCGTTGCTGTATAATACCACAGCGTTAAACTGCTAAACTTGTGACAGCTGTTTATGGCACCTATCTACTAAAGCTGCTGGTGCAGCGAGATGAGTCATTGAAACGAAATCAATACCAAAAGCAAAGGAAGAGCAGGAGGAGGAAAAAAAAAGACAGAAAACAAAAACAAAACAAGCTTGGATATTGATTTAAGTCGTGTCATATTTTTTTGCATTTTAAGTCCCAGCTTGATCTCACTGCTGTATCGGAGGCACATCCAGACCTCCATACTAAAGCATGCTGTCACTCATGTGGAGCAGACCAATCCCCCATGGACAGGGGGCGCCACATTGGGACCACCTGAGACCACCTGAGACCCCACTGAGCTGGAGAGAGCAAGCTGATCAGAGGATTACATCTGTACAGGTAATACCTGATCTAATCCTGCTTAGCAAACCTGAATTTGTCCAGCTCCCCTGGACTTTTTGGAAACACTACTCCATTCACCTTCATGGAGCTTTATTTATTCTTCCTCTCTTCTCTTCTCTAATAAATTCAACATGCTCTGTGTTTTAAGGCCCTAAAAACTGGACGCAAATGCCAAAGTATTTCTCCATCATTAAGTATTTAGGAATAAGTCATGAATAATAAAAGGTAAAGCTCAGAAACCCCCATTAGTAGTAGTAGTAGTATTCATAGTGGTGTTTATTTTAACAATGGAGCTAATCTGCTTGATCAGGAGAGTTTGCATATTACTACATCAGATTTAACTACCTGACCACATTAAGAAACAACAGCCTTTAGCATTTCTAATGAAAATAGAAAATATTACTAAATCCTTATTGGTACTTGGAAATCACATTTTTTCAACCAATCTCTGCTCCTATGAAACAAGTCATAGAACAGAAATACAGCTGACTGACTAAAGGGGCTGTTAAGACTATCTATCTATCTATCTATCTATCTATCTATCTATCTATCTATCTATCTATCTATCTATCTATCTATCTATCTATCTATCCATCTAGAGAACTGCTGGTCAGATTTGTACTGAGCTTTCCTCTGTATGCATATTTGGTGCATCTCCTCCTTAGAAGATACGGTCATTGACTTTTTGGACATTTGAAAAACCTGTGAAACCGGCTAAAAACCTAGAAAGCAAATATTATTTATCATACATCCATCAGAACAATGTTTGGAGCTGTTTTTGTCCATTAGATGAACAATTTTGTCCATTAGATGAATAATTTTGTCCATTAGATGAATAAAATCCCAATATTCACGCTCTTTTTTTTTTTAGCTTTGTTTATATCTCTATCAACTCCTAAGGAAAATATCTGTATGTGCAGCTGCAGCACATGCTCCACTGTGTTCACCAGCTATCAGGTAACGCTGTTGGCCTGCAGCATCCTCCAAGGCTGAATGAAGCTAATGCAAAAACGTCAAAACCTGCAGTTCTTCAAAGGACACTTGAGGTCCAAAAATGAGTCGGTCCCACTGATTCCACTGTAAACTGTCCAGGCAGATAAAAAAACATGTTCACAGCCTGTACAAAAATATTTTTATCTCCTAATTTCTGTACAGTGGACGAAGTTTTATATAACTCACCCATTTAAACTGTGCTGAAGCTTAAAGTGATGTATAATTAAGAGTGACAGTTAAGTGCTGTGATATATAATAATAATATAATAGGACAGTCTGGTCCAGAGACATCTGCATGGCCAGCTCTGCTCCACTCATGCTCCACCTTCTCACTCATGTTTGGTTTAGCTGGGGTTGCAGAGGACTCAGATTCCACCACAATGGCAAATTAAATGTTGTTTTTCTACTGTTTAACATCAGTCATCCATATTGGCACAATACTGGGCTCTGCATTGTGTCACCATGCTAGGGGGCGCTACGCTTCACGGAGGAAACGTTTCCAATGGGGGGGCTGCATCTTCACACAGGATGACACACTTCCTGTCACTGCATTTCTTCAGTGGCTCTTGTTCCAGATGTTGACTACCAGACACAGCTCATACTGGACCCTTGCCACACTGAGGGCCTGACTCATTCAGCCCCCCCACAATATCTTGCAACATATCTGATCAATGGCAGCAGCAGCATGACCCTGTGGGAAATAAGGGTTATGAAGTCTGACAGCAGTGTGCAGGCTCATCCCCTTCATCTTGTTTATTTCTCCAGGCGATGGGGAGCCAGACCAAGGAGTGAAAAAGTGACCCATATATTGATTTTGGAGGGGGGAAATTTGTTGCCCCCTCAGGGGATAGCTTAATGAATCGAAAAAGTGCATCTGGCTTCCTGCAGGTGGAGGTGCAAAGAGAGACTTCTCACAACTGGTTAGGCTTCATATCGTAGGAAAATGAAAGTGAGAGGAATAACTTTGGAGAGTGTAATTAGTATACACAGCAGCAAAAAGCTTAGCATATCTGCAATATCTCTGTAATGAAGTAAAACAGCCTTTTACTGTTTGCTCATGAATATTAAATACCTCATTTAGGCCTTTTGAAAGTAGACAGTGGTCTGCAGTAATAAAACAAAGGGGCTCTGTACAGTAAAAAAAAAAAGATTATGGCTGGTAAAGGCTGTTTGAGAGAGAGAGCATCCAATAAATAGACTCTCACATGTTTAAACCACCTCAACCGGCTCCTTTTGACAGGAAGCAGCAGCTACTCTACGGACTGACCCTGCAACTAATATCTTGGCACCAGGTACCACAGGTCTAACCAAGTCCATGTCTCACAGTACTGGAGCTGTTTAGGCAGCAAGCAAAAGACAAACATATTGGGTAGGGGTGGTTATAATATTCAGGCTCATCAGTATCACTTGGTAATTCACAAGACTATAGGGCTCTGTGGACGTTCTTTCACATTAAAACAGGCAAAAACTACTTGTAAAGACTTAGTCTTAGACTTAAGTTAGGACTTGGAAAGACTTTTCTTCATCGAAACTACAGACGTGAGCTCAATCCGAGAAAAACTGAGAATTTGAGAAGACCAAAGACCGAAAGCACACCTAACTCAATCTGTCCTTTCTGTCCTTCGTCCTGTTTTTACCTCATACTCTTGTTTAAAGCCGTATCCCTCCGCCGTCTTCATCTGGTTGATGTGCTGCAGGAGATCAGCCACCCGGACAGCAGGGTGGAGCTGACCCGTGTGATACGGCGAGCTCTTCCTCCGGCAGTGGCGTTGGGGTGAGCCTCCCAGTAAGCTGCTGGACTCATTGACAGAGCTTCGCTGCTCATCTGAGAACATGAACATATAGAGTTCAAGGTATACTGCTGACAATAAGGACTCTGTATTTTTATTAATGTAAAAAAAAAATGAATCGGGGGACGCTAAAGGAAAAAAAAAGGTTTGTGCAGAGATGTGAGGGTGGACTGGTGCTGCAGAATACTGAAACAGACGAGAGACTTTGGGTGGATTTCTCTGCTGAGAGCACCTTCTGGTCTGGCAGCACAGACTGGATACATGCTTGGAAGTAAACATGGCTGAAGGTCAGGAAGGAGGGAGCAGCATTCTCTCTGGACATTTTCTCAAGAGTACCCATATGTTTCTCACTGTCTTACTTCGAGTGTTGCAGCCGTGGGCATCCATGAAGGAGTGGGCCATCCTCTCATCCTGCTGGAGAGTGCTCTGCTCCGTCATACTGCAGTCCAAAGAGCTCAGCTTCCGACTCTTTTCCTGCCTGTAGGACATGGCTGCCTTGTTTATGGGCACCTTCTTCCTACTATAGAGATGTAGGCAGAGAGGTGGGAGAATAGAAAGAGGCAGGAAGCAATAATAGACAGAGGACAGCAGAGAAGGGACAGGGTGGGAGAAAGATAGGTAAAGAGATAAAGAAGAAAGGAAAGGAGGGTGGGTGAGGAGATGAGAAATTGGACTGAGGGGAAAATATAAGGGCTGCAAGATTGAAACTGGACAAGGGGGAAAGTGAGATTTGGTGATAGCAAGAGAGTGTCGGGGTGGCGGTGGGATTGTGAGGTTGTGGCTGAGGTGGTGAGGAGGAGGCACGAAGGAAAGGGAGGCGTGTACGATACTAGAGGATGGGGTGGAGATAGTGATGCTTATTTCCACTCTAGTAATCCTGGGACTACAAAGGTCAAGCAAGGGGGAGATGGCATTAGGGTATCAGGGTGGAAGATGGAGAAAGAAGTAACTTACGGGTAGTAAGGGTAAGAATAGAAGTCCCTTCTGATTAGCATGAAGGAGGAGGAGAGACAGAGAGTGAGGAGAAAAAAAGAGAGGTGACTATGGTTTATCAAGATGGGCATCAGAACGATCAATGAAGATGCTCAGTGTGTTGGAATGTTCCCATCATGAAGCTCCATCAGAGCTTTAAAAATACAGACAGGGTTGACTACATACAGTTAAAAATGAATATTACTTCAGATTTCCTCAGTGTCATGCTTAATAACCTGTAACATGTAGACATCACATCACAATAGCTACCGGCTCAAACTGTCTGTATATGCATAATTATATCAGCTTGTTTCTACAGTGGACTTCCTAAAACATGAATTATGGCACACATGTGCACACCAGAGCTCAGACTGATAAGTAGAAGTACAAAGGTTTTATAAGGCACTCAGGAAGGCGTCCACTGGTATGCCAACCTATCAAGACAAGCTTTATTTAGAAAATACTCGTCAATGTTTCAAGAAATATCAATATTTTCAGATAATCCCTCAAAATGAATGACTGACATGTTGACAATAACATTTCAGTTTGTTGTTGGGGAGTAGATATAAATCCTCACCTCCTAAAGCAACAGTACTGTTTGTTTCAGCCTTCAAGATAATACACAAGATCAGTCATGGATTTATATACGGTAGCTTCCCCACTAAAAATCTGAAGTTCCTTTCAAGCAACAGGTAATATAACAGTGTTACAGACGAGTGAGCTGAACTGTAAAATTCTGATTGTGAAAAACCCATGTGACTCAGAACACGAAGACAAATCAGTCAGCTGACTTTTCAAAAGTCTTACTGGGTCAGTGTGAAGCACTACAAAACCATGATGACTGTATCAAGGTTTTAAGGTAGACCTTCTCGTTTCAGATTTAGATTTATGACTCTGTGTTTCTTCCACAACATACACTGAAATGCCACAAAATTAAAAACACTCAGTGCTAAAGTGAAAATCAATATATTGCCTCTAAAGGACGACAACAAAGAGCTGAAAGTATTGACCTGGACTCCAAACTGCCCTAAACCCAATCCAGGTGAACATCTTCAGGATCCAGCATAACAAGTCCCACTGCCACACCCCACACCCCACACCCCACACCCCACACCCACACCCACAGGAGTGGGGATTTGCTGTCAATGTCCTGATACCACAGGACAACCCCACAGGTCCTGTGTTCATGGCCTGACAGGTCAGAGCTGCTTCAGTGGCACAAGGGGACCTACACAGAGTTGAACTGGTGCTCTTAATGTTGTATCTGATCAGTGTGAATGACGGCCCATGTTCTGTCATTGGTTCATAGAGTCCACAGGGTTTCTTCTGGAGCTCCATGTCATGCTTCCAGTTGCAGCTTTTTAAACATGATGATTGAAAAATCATGCAAAATGCTGAAGTGCTTTACCAGCGAGGAACATAAAGCTTTTTAAGCTTCATTTATTTAGTTCCTGCACCTTCAGCACCTCACTGAATACAGCAGATCTCTGATTTCTCATTGATTACGGAACACATTAACATATGTAGTCTCAATTTGTACATGCAGAGACAGAATATCTAGCGGCTAAATATAAAAACTTCTGCGTCTGTTGCCCCCATGTGGCTGTCTAGTACCTATTGTGCCTGCTAGATTGGCCCAGTGAATCTTATCAGTCACTGCCTTCTTCCAGACAGCCCCATTCATTCTCCTTCTATTCACTGGAAAATTCCTCGGGGCAGAGCAGTTCCTCCCCCCAAAAAGAAAAGAAAAGCCAAAAAAAAAAGAAAAGCAAAAACAACCTTCCTAACCAATTACTAGCCCATCCACTGGCACCTCACAGCTGCTCGCCTCATGTAATTGAGTGGGCAATGGAATAACATGCCCCTTGATGAAATATTTCACACTCAGATGAGTGTTCCACCATTGCCCAGCGAGCGAAGGAAGAATACACTGCAGGTGCAAGCGACGACAGAGGTAATTTGCAGGTGGAAAGCAGCCAACGATTCCACTGCGAGCAGGCTGCATTTGAATGTGCTCAGTCAACACACAGACCTTGAAATTAAAAGATGAGATGAAACACAAAAGCTTGGCTGAGGCAGCGGTGGGAGAGTTTAGGATTAATGCTCTACCATTCCACTAACTCGGGTTGTAATTCACTCTCATTGCCAAATGCTTTCCTCAATAGACCCGAGCTGCCAAGTGGGATAGAGATAAATTTACTCCTTTGGATCTGCTACACAGGAACAATAAGACTATAAGGCTGTAAATGTTTTACTGTGAAAAGGTCGAACCTGTCTCACGTCAGCTGGCCGCCAGACACATAAACATTTGTGCAGCCACTCACCCCTTCTTGACGATGATGACAATGGCCCCCAGCAGCAGGATGAGGACCACCAGACCACCGGCACAGGCTCCAAGGATCAGACCCATGTCCTCGGCATGCTGGGAAACCTCCAGGGCCCTCTTAGAGTCTTTACAGGCAGCTGCACATCATTCATCACAGAGAAGGGAGGGAGAATCAGAGAGAGAAAACTGTCAACTGTCTACTCTAATTGTAAAACCAAGATGCCACATGTGATGATCTGAGGTCAATAAATTGTTGAATTTAGAATAATTACAATAAACAAACTACATTTCATATCACCAAGAAGACCGGCAGCCTCCACTGGTCTTTATACCACTGGTCTACAATGACAGGGAATGCTAAAGAGATTTTTGGATTAATTTGTTCACGTTGTATAATTAACTCTAAGATGTCTGTTCCCACCTAGTAAACTGGCTCAGGTTTGAAAAAATACAACAAAAGCATCACTAGCAACAGTGCAGTGGAAGATTTACAAACTTCACTGTTTAGAGTTTTATTTAAAATATATGTATAATAAAATAAATGCCAGACAATGAAAACAAGAGAAAACAGCAAAGTCTGATCAGAGAAAGCAGGGAAGTGTCAGAACTACAAACAAACCAAAGAAGTAACGTACCAACAGTTTACACATATGGTGACATTTGTTTGTTAGTTATGAGTTTTACTGTAGATGTGTTGTGCTGAGTTTTATTCCCTTTCAAATTCTTATTTTTGAAGTGTACATTTGAAGTTTTATTATTATTATTATTTTGACAATAATCTGATTGCATACTCGTACGAAGCCAACATGTTGCATCTTTTAACTGTGGTATGAAACCCTGAGGTCCAGTCCTGCCCTAACGGGACATTTACATGAGCAGGGAAAAGTCTTATTCACATACATGCAGCCTGTGTTACAGCTGACAATGTCTTGCATAGAACTGCCTGATAATAACATCTGTATGCATCTGTATGGTGATTCTATCAGTAGGTTGCTTTAAAGGCATGCAGGATATGAACAATCAGCTGATCAGACCAGCTGGAGTATTAAAGGGCAGCTAACAGATAAGCAAACATTCACACACTTGGACTATCAGCCCCCAAAGTCCTAAGAGCCTGACTTAGCAGCACTGACTGAGCACCACTGACTCAACCTGCTGAATGGCCAAATGGAAAACAGACATCTGGGCAGGGTGGAACCACATGGTTCCATTCAATATCGATTCGATTCGATATTGATTTAAACTTCAATATCGACTCAGTAGCAAGTCAAAGTGCACAAATAATTCATTAGAGTACCTCTGGATAATTTCAAAATAATGGTTTATTTTAATGCCCATATGAACAGCCATGGTATAACTCATAAGAGCTTTTAGCAAAAAAACATCTGACAATCAGAAGAATTAGCATAAGAATGTGTGTGCTGAACATGAAGTACCAAAGTAAAAAACATGAAGTACTGTAATAAAACTAAAGTACATGCAAACTGAAAGTACCACAGTAAAACAATATGACAGCACTCTATCAGAAGTTTGAATACAGTAGTCATATTGTCATATTACGCTGTATTCAGGCAGAGTTTGGGTCATATTGTGCTGACTCTGAGATTATATCAGTGGATCAATAATTTAAAAGGTGGTTTTGATCATTTTAATTTTTTTTTATTGTGGAGATATGTCTGCCTTATTTCCCTCCTTACAGCTCACTCAAATGTAAATTATATCATAACTGATCACTTTCTGGATACAAGCAGCTTTTGCACATCGTAATGGAAGCACCTCCAGTAATCCTGGCAGTGCACTGACAGAAGGAGGATCCACACTCTGGATGTTGTGTCCACCAGGTTCAAACAAGATGGAGCGAAGCGTGTTAGAGGTCACCATGGTCCAGCTAGAGCTCACACTAGACTGTTTCCAACTCAGGCAGTCAGCAGGCTGGTATGGTACCATGCAAAAGCCCTGCAACATTTAATCTGTAGAGGCTGCACAGGAATAAAGAGCTCACTAGACAATATCAGAAAGGAAGCACTGATATCAGTGACGTGATCGTCCACAAAGGGAGCGAAGCATGTTTGGCTTGGGAGAGACGAGGCTCTGGTTATCTCACCAAGCTCATGCCCACTCTCATTCAGGCTGCTATTTTCTTCCAACCCGTATGTCACGGTCGCAGCGCATTTCTGTCTGCACTGCCAGCAGCATGAAATCTCCCTCTCCATGAATTATCTGGGCTCCCTGTTGTGTTTTATCCAAGATGAAAAAATATTATTAACTATGAATAAACTGAAGGAGTATTATTACACTTCAGACAGCAGACTTGTCATTATCACGCCACTTCAGTGATAAGAAAAAAAATAAGGCTGGGAATAAAAATAAAGGCAGACGTATACAATTAAAGACTCTGAGGTTAGCTGCAGTCAGTTTGAGGACACAACGGAATTGGACAACATCTCTGTATTTTAGCAAAGCAGAGATGCTTGATGATGCCCTTTTGCGGAAAAGATGGAAGAAAAAAAACCTTCCAGTGATGCAGAATGCTGAGTTTATCTGCTAAGCGGTGTTTTGGTAGTGACTATAGCTCCAGGCAGACAATACAGTCTGACAGACTTCACTGGAATCACACAAATCACGCTGGATGAGTCATTCTGCCTTTAGGGCCATTTTTAGAAATTGGCTATCATGGTAAATTTTACTGCACCAAAAATACAGCTTTGGCCATCCACAGACAATCCACAGGGTTGGGGCACTGCGATAGCTGAACTGGTTGAGCTGGCGACACATGTTCTGGGGCTATAAGTCCCCAACGCAGCGGCCATGGGTTCTAGTCCTGATCATGGACCTTTCCTGCAAGTCCTTCCCCCACTCTTCTCCTAACTTCCCTCTCTCTCGACTGTCCTCTCTAATGAAGGTAAAAAGACCAAACCCTTGAAAAAAATAATCAAACATCAGATGAACACAAGCAAATACAGGATGTGAAGAAGACTCGTTTCCATGAGGCTTTGTTTGTCTATAATTCTGTAATCCAGAGAACAGAACGTATATTAAAGTTTTCAAGCTGATGTGTAACATACAGTCAATGTGCAGAAACAAATTGCAATAAAGGCCTGACAAGAGGTTAGAACTGATTATAGCTCATGTTCAACCATGCTGCATAATAAACATTTCCACAGCTTGAAATGCATCCTGCAACAGAACCTTCTTGTTCTCTCCTGATGAGTTTCAGTGTTTAATAGACACATGGTTCTCATTCACCATTCTCACTCCAATCACTCTGACTCTGACTCCTCCTTTTTAAAACACAACTCAACACTTCCTCACTGTGATTTCTTTGCAGCCTTTTTCAAGATGCTTCCTGTTATTTTAATTACAAAGGACAGATTATATGAATACACACAGCATACATTCTCAAATAAAACCCATTCAGCATCCTTCCATCTGCATAAATACATTTCTGTTTTGAAAACTGATAAATGACTTCTACTGAGTTACGACTACGTTGCTGCTTTTTTAATCGGTGTATTGTCACCAAAGCTAAACATTTCATCATCTGCATTTGATGTACAGCTTGTCAGGCAGGATGCTTTCAGTTGGACTGAAGCTGCCGGTACTATAATGGCGGATGTATAATGTACTCAGCACTACTTCAGTCAGTGAGTCATGTGACACCATTTCACCAATCTGCTGCTACCAATTTCTGTTTTTACCAGAAAATCTTTTCTCATTCACTGAATGAATTCCACTTGCTTCTACTTTGCCATCTTCTTTATTTGGTTACTGGCTATTGGTTCATCATTTCCTGGTATTGGAATGAAATTTATCAGGAAAGGTACATGTAGATGTTTTAGACACAGCAAGCATAAATATTCATCCACTGGTGGATGATCTGATGTTTGGGTTACATTCAGCTTGAACAAATACAAGTTTGTTCTAATGAAAGATCTGGTAAAAAGTAAATACTACAATTCAGCATCATGTGTCTCCAAAACACTAAAGTAAATGATTTTCTAGGACTTTGTTGATTTGTGTCAAAAGTCTCTTCAAATGTTGCGAACGAAGAGCTGAGCATGAAAGCAAGGAGCTGCCTGAATGTCTGACTGACAGCCCTTCAATACAAAAAGAAAAAAACCTGTGGGCATAATTAATACTATGAACAGAATCTCAACACTAAGACATTACAAAGTAGAACCAACTGCAATTAGTAAATAAAAACTCCAAAGTCTGAGCAGTAGAATGATGGACAAGGCAGAACTATGCTGTTCGACTAAGCGCTCTGAAAATATACATAATGCAGAATTCATTAGTGCAGGAGGAAGTATTGACTTTGCATCATGAGCAAACAGCATGAACTGCAAATTAAAAAGGAATGAAATCAAGAAACACAGAGAAGTCTCACCAGTGTGATAGAAGAGATGATTTAGTCATATTTAGTATTTGAAACAGCTTCATCTAAAATAAGCTGGTTTTAAATAAAGCTCCTTCGAGGTAAATAAAGTGTAAAGAAACTATTTGAGAATTTGTGGTATTATGTGACTCCATTCAGCTGTCAGGCAGATTTTAGGCCGACGTTTCAAATGCTGCTAAAGCTAAATGTGAATTTGCTGCCTTTTTTCCCACTGGCTGCGCAAACACACAGAAAACCCCACTTGCACCAGAATGAGGAATCTTTTAAGACGATTTGATTTGTAATGAACATGTTCTTATTGTGCCTTGCTGTCAGCTAATGCTGGCCATATGTCATCTGAGGACAAAAAGAACAAAGAAAAGTGCCTGGGTGTCAGAAAACAGTCGCCCACCACGGCGGAGGCTGGGCCAGGCACTTGGATGAACACAGCTGGCAGCATCTGTATGTGGGAAGCTGGTGAGAGGAAATGAGAAACAGCCAGGAATGGTCTTAACGGGACCTCTGCGCCACCTCTGAGAGCTGGAGTAGCATCAGCATGTCCTCCGGGCCTGCCTGCCGCACTCGTATACGCACAACTACAGTCAAAAGGACTCCTATAAATATGCCTGCAACCAGCCCTCCTCTACCTACGTGACATGCTGGCAGACAATGCTCAGGTAGGATTCTTTGATGTCATTGCACTTCACATATGAAAGTGTTCAGGGAGAGGAATCCAATTTAACTGCCACCTTTCTCTAGAGCGCTACAATCTTCAGGCATTATTCAGGAGGGGAGAAGGATGGAAAAACTCCATTTCGCCCTCTGTCTCTCTGCCTTCCCCTATTGTTTGAACTGAGAGCCTTCTATCAGTGTCTGCCTCTCAAGCAAACACTCCTGGTTGCTTCCTCTCTCAGGGAGGAGGGAAAAAAAAACGGAAACATTGCTGCATTGTGGATTTCAAAGTCATCAGAACCCAAGAGGGGTTTGCCAAAATGTCAGTGTCAGTGATTCAAGAGGAACAGAGTGAGAACAGAGATGTATGTTTGCTTTCACCTTTCCTCCGGTGTCTCTGTTGAGGGGAGATTGGCACCAGAGCTTCTTCCCTGTAGCACCCAAAACAACACTAAGTCCGTGTCAAATCCCCTAAGCAGCAGCCTGATCCAGGATCACTGTCGAAGTCTCTGACATGTACCCTGTACCACATAACTGATACCAAGGGAACCACAAACAGTCTTGCAGTTGTTATGATTACCTAGAGATTCACATGGACTTATTCAACATTATCTTAGCAAGCAAAAGACAACTGGTGCCCTCTGTCTCATCCAGTTCTACCACTATGGCAGCATTGTAGAAAATCCAGCTTTTTATAACCTGTTTTTTCTGTTTCTAGTCTCATTATAATAGTGAGAACATTTCATTGTGCCGCTTAACTGCTGAGAAACGAGGATTCAACACTGCAAGACAAAGGTTTAACAAAGTAATCCACAAAGAGACAGACGCTGAACACGTCTCCAGCACATCCTGCTTAATATAGAGATTATTATCCAATAGTCTCTCTGCCCATGTCAGAGGAGGCCTGCACAGATGTTTCTGCACCAGTTGCAAATAGATGAGGGCATATTGCAGCCATGAACTACCTCAACACAAATCAGACCAATTGAATTATTTAAAGTTTTAATTCAAACTGTCAGCGAACTGCAGAATCACACAAATGTCTCTTGTTCAGTAGATTAGCAGTTCAACCTGTTGCACTGATGTTGGGTGAAAAGCTCTGACATTTAGTAAAATAACGTGTCAGGCAGTGATGTTATCTGGAGGTTCTTGAATAAACTGACTCATGGAATCTAAAATATAAGCAGCATCACCATGGTGGGATGCTGTGCTCACATATGCAGATTCTTCCCCAATCAATAAAGTACATAAACTAAATAATGTGACTCTAACACTGTTAATGTAACACAGGTTGTTTAGTTATTATTGCTGTCAGACAGAGTGCATGTAGTCACTGTCACACTGATGCTAAACCCAGGTGAAGACAGAGAGGGCTTCAGAGTATGGAAATAATAACATTAATTGGATTTATCAAAGAGAGTGCATCTGTCTTATCCGTGCAGAGCAGAGGGATATGGACACTGAGCCTTTTGCATTGACCTCATGATAGACAAGAATAACACCTGTAACCATGGTAACGGTATTGGTGAAGCACTGTAATGAAGCCCTCCCTTGTGTCCTGCCTGCACTATTCAGCCAAACAAGAAAGCTATACGGACACATGCCCATAGTTAAGGTAGAAACTGTTAAAATTCATTTTCAAGTGGAACATTTGAGAGGTTTCCATGTTTAGCTGCCACAAAGCCTCATTAAAGAAGCTGAGTCAATATTTGGTGACAGAAACGTATTCAGATCATTTGTAAATGGTCTGCATTTATATAAGGCTTTTATCCAAAGCACTTTATAATGTGTTCCTCATTCACCCATTCACACCCATTCACACACCAGTGGTGGTGATGAGCTGCCATGCTAGCTGCTGCTGCCACTGGGAGCAGCTTCAGGTTCTTGTCTTGCCCGAGGACTAAAGTGTCAATTACAGCAGTTAAGAGTTAAAGTTTAAACTTTTTTACTTTATCAACATTTAATCCAACAGTTGCCGGGACATTTCACTCAAAACCACAACAGTCCTCCTCATGGTGGCAGCTCGGGTTCATCCTCTGGGAACCAGGAAGTTCTGTTCAAAATGTTGTGAAAATCTGTCCAGTGATGTGATCAGTAATGTTTGACCCAACTGTGGTTTAGGAGAAAGGACAGGATCACCAGAGTCTCTAGGGTTCATCCAGTGGGGACTATGAATGTCCAGTCCATTTAATAGCTGTTAAGATATTTTAATTTGGTGGACTGACTGCCACTACCATCGCTGGATCTGAGCTTCTAGCTAAAACTGTGCTATTGCTGCTTTGTTAAGCCTCTTTCAGAGACAGATGTTTTGGTCATTTGCATTGTTATAAATATGATTTTGAAAGAGATTTTCTCATTTATTTTATGTGATAATGAATTATTGATGTTACATGTATAGCACCTTCAAAATGTACGAGCCAGCTTTACCTTTGCGAGCAATCCGAATGCAGTTTATTCTCGTCTCCTGTGGGTAAAAGAAAAGGCTGAGTTAATTAATTTGGCCTGGTAGCATAAAAAAACAACAACAAAAGAAAAAAACATGTCACACAGTAATTTAATTACGAGTCAGTCTGTCGACTCCACAACCTCGTCTCAAACCTGCAACTTGCAGCTGCAGCTTGCTGGCGGCCAGACCTCGGCCAGACCTTTGCTATGTGGAGGAAATAATTGAAATGTCCTAGCGGATGACATCTCCTTGTGATATGAGAGACCTCTGCTCCCCCTCACCATGTCAGGCCCTCACCCGGGTCCACTGATTGGCTGTGCTTCCCTTGCCAAGCAGCCGCCTCTATCTGGGAGATAGAGGGCCATGTTACCAAATCAGGATTTAAGGAAGCTAAATCAGCCTTTATGGGCAATTATGCTAATCTGTGCTGTGAGATTTGAGTCAAAAACCTTCCACCTAAAACTGCTCCCAAATTACCTTTTTTAATTGGAAATCTGTTTTAAGTGGATTCTCATCTCCTCTCATCTCTTACAGTGACAGTTAAGTCATATTTACTCCCACCCAGGGGTTATTACAGCGGTGGCAGGTAGTATGTCATGTGTCATCCTGTCCTCTATCAAGGTGGGATTTGGGCCTTTTGGAACAGAAACACCAATACTTATCAAATTAGCAATTTAATACATCTGAGTTTCCAATCGTATTAGGAAGAGTGACATAATATATATTGAAGTAACCCCATCCTTGGGGTGGATCTCAAATTTTATCAAATTTGATTCTGGTGCTGGCCGTGCTTATCAAATCTGAATCCTTTCTAATCCACTACAGAATCCATTTAGGTTCAGCCCTCAATGTTTGTAAGTAAATAAAGTTGGAAACAATGAAAACTCAAAGCTTCCCTTGAGAGATGCAATCACTTATTGTTGTCTGACAGTGTACAACAGGTTTGAGAGGTGGACACCAGAACACAGCCGGAAACTGGGACGAGTAGGATGAGATATGATCTGATGATTAACTGGAACAATCACAGCAAAGTAACAGCCTTCTGATCACGCACAGTTTTTTACCATCCTTATCAGTTCTGGCTTCAAAACGACAAGATTGAATTGATAACATTGATAAATATAGCATGCATGAAACTTGTAAGGCAGCTTTGTTTTTAGAATCACTATTGTTGTTCACTTCTTCGTGTTTGATGGTGAACATGTTGGCACGCACAGCCAGCAGACACAGAGCAACACTGGCATTTATGTGGAGTTCTGACCACTTGATGTATGTAATTCCTCTCTCCTCCTCTCCTGTGGTCTCTAGCTGCTAAATGCTATCCGATGTCCAACTCTGCCTGCTGGTTAGATGCTTAGATTAGATGATTATTCTTGGTGAGTGATATCTCTTTTTTTTTTGTGATAGTTACTTGATGAGTTTCTTCGAGTTGCTTAGTAATAGCTGCTCTGTGATGTGATCATTAAAGTATGACCTGGTGCAGCTTCAACTGTTTGATTTCAGCGACTGAAACGAATGTGATCAGCTGGAAAAGATTCACCACAGCGCTGCTGCAAAAACACTGATCATTAAATGTTTGTACGTTGCTCTTTGCTAATAAAAAAGGACAAAGAGATAAAAAACAAAATCAATAATTAATCTGTTAGTTTAGGAAATCTGGGCATTCAGCCAAAGTGGAGCTGAATCAAAGATTAGATTCTATCCTCACCCAGTCCTAATGCCAGAGCATGCAGCATGTGCAGAAGTGGCATGTAATTACAGATGATGCGCATTAATAAACGTGGTGACAGGAAAACATCAGCATGCTGGTGTTTTAATGTTCAGTATAATAGATATTATAGCAGTAATCTGGATTTTTCTAAAGTGACTTCTACAGACGTGACAGAGAGAAAGACAGACTTGGAAAAGTGTGTTTGTTTCCTACTTTTATGTTTCATAAGAAACTGGCAGCACCAATCATGCATCTTTCAAGCCCCACTGACGGCAGATCTGCCAAAGCAATTACGGTTTCAATTCAATGGCAGCTCATGGTCCACAGTAAGCCTTGTACATTTAATTTATCCAGGGTAATTGTCAAAATAATTAGGGTTCTTTCCTTCTCTCCATGAGCAGCACATTTCTCTTGGAAAACAACTGCAATTTACAAAATAGATTGGAGATGATATTTGTAGGACAAAAACAGAAAGTTATCAACATGCATTAAATGTTCAGTTTGTTGTGTTGCCTGATTTCTGTCTCAGAGTTTTTGTGCCAACACAGCTTTTCATGTGATCTTCAGGGAGAACCAGTACAAATGGGACTCCATGAGGAAAGCTAACTGCTGATTACAGATCAGAAGGCATTGATTTCAGTCAGACATACAGTGTGTGGGTTTGACCCGGACCAGATGCTGACTGTGATCTTTCCGGGCCCTGGGGCCCACCCAGCAGCACCAAGAGGAAACTGTCTCCATCCTCTGAGGAGTGGCATACAGAGATAGATATCAGGATGAGAGGATTCAGCCAGGCAGGAAACACTTGGGCTCCATATGGGCCCAATAATTTAAACAGCATTTACTTTCACTTTGACTGTGCACATTAAACACACTCCTTATTCATGCTTCAGCTACTTTCCCAGTGGCTGAAGGAGTTCCTCTTTGGATTGTTTCATGCCTGCAAGGCAGTGTTTGATTTTTTATTTATTTATTTGTTACTACAAAGAAAAGGTATTTTTTAAGTTTTAAAAAGCTTGAATACGGGGCAATCGGGCAACTGGTTGAGTACAACAAAAGCACATGTACAAACTGTATTCAGCAGGCAGTTGTCTTCTAAATAATTCAGTTTGCCATTTTTCCTCTTGTGAGGTTTTTAAGAAGATTTAGGAGGAATAAAAGACTTCTGAGAAATTATACAACATTTAGTCAAAAAAACAATCAAGCCATCCTCACACAACACAACATACATCAGCTAACTTCATAACATTGTGAATAAAGCTTGATAGTTTATAGTGAGGACGACTTTCTCTCGTAGTGCTTCCAGCATGCTGCCGTCTGATTGCTTGATGCAAAGCTGAACTGACTTCAAGGTCGCTAAAACACAAAAGCATCTGAGCTCCAGGAACAAACGTCTGGACATGCGTCTTAATGGTTCTTACCCCTCTGAAGTTGCTGGTGGCCTGAAAGTAGATGAGGTAGTTCTTGGTGGGGTCCAAAGGACTGTTCCAGTAGCCGTTGTAGGTGTGATTGTCGCCCACGGTGAAAGGCGTGGCCTCCGGCAGGCTGCTGGGAGCCAGCTCGGCAGTGTAGTAATGCGGGGTCCCTTTGGCCTGGGCCTCACTGTGGGAGGTTGGTGTGGGGAAACAGTCCACGGTGCCCAGCTCCCTCCTCCTCACCTGACGGGACCCATCTTCTTCCACCACCACTACCTGGTAGGCACTGGGGAGGAACACTGGGGGGTTACTCCTCCAAAAATGGGCTCAGGACTATTTAAGCTAATTCAACGACTACAAAGTACACGGTGAGCTTCAACATACACTGAGTCCGTCCTTTATTTTGGCCATTATTTCTGGTCGATGTGACTTTGTGCTCAATAATCATGTTGGTGTTATTTCCTCACTGCACATGAAGCTAGAGATGGTGGGTCAGAGTTAAACCAGGAAGCAGGTCCTTCAGCTGCCGTTGATGGTGTCAACAGACAGTAAAGAGCTGATTGTGTATCTTTGTTCTCTCTAACAAATCTGATTGGCTGATCTGGTGGTTTGTCTGAAACTGGTCTGTTTGTCTTGCTTTGACACTCAATCATGTTTTTTGCAGTCGTCACATTTTTCTTCAGTGTTTCCAGATGCAAACTCACAAGTAACTTTGGGTATGATGTTGTGTTTGCCAGCAATGTATGATCAAAAAAATAAAAAAAATCTAAATAGTCCATGTGCTGTTGAATGGTTTTCTTTTTAAGGTCATGTCCAACAGACAGTTTCGATCAGAATGCAAATATAAACGTAACATCTGTCACATGTGTGAATATCACACAAAACTTTATGAATTACTTCAAAATGCATGTTTTAAAAAAACTCGAGTTCAAGACAATTCAATTATTAACTTCTCAGATCATATTGTAGATATCTGTAATGCGAAACTCTATAAATGCAGACGGTGAAAGTGAAGCCATTTGTTTTAGGAAGAATGACACTGTTCTGTATATATCTTAAATTACATTATGGATTTCTGAAATGTTCTTTTTGACGAGGAATAAATGGATTTTGCAGCCATATGATGAACGGGGACCTACAGAGACCAAAACCATTTTATGTACCAGGTGGTGAACGTGTTTATTTCTGCTGTATAGTTAGACATTAGTATAAAGGGGGTCTATAGAGATTAACTTGCTTTTACAGACAGCATCAACTGGTCAGTCGATGAACTGCAGTTTCTGCCACTTCCACATCGGCCTCGTTTTTCAGCCCCAGAGCTGCTCTCTGGTTACAGCTCAAAAGGTTTCTACCGTAGGAGTTGAAGGACATTTGGCTGGCTGTAAAACAGCATTATGAAATTTAAAACACCATGTATTAGAAGCTACAAGGAGAAATGTTATCAAAAATAAATAAAAGCATACTTTTGAAAACTGGTGTGTTGAAATAGAAATGGCTGTTAGAAAAGAAAAGAGTGAGGACCTATAAAACATTTTAGAAAAGTTGAGATGCGTTGAGAACTATTTCAGAAATGATTTGCTGATTTATATATTTACTGCTATGTATTTGTTTCACTACATATTTCACATTATATTACTGACCAATCTGGAGCTCCATATCCAGAGGCTTCAGTCTTCATGTTTGCCATGAATGAGTGATGCCGTCTTGTTTGTCTTAGAAAGAGCCTCACCACACAGCTCTGAGTATAACTCCACATGTACTGTTATATTTAAATAGAGAAATGTTTTCTTCCATGAAGGGTTGGATGCTTTTTTGTAATTTCACTCAAAGCCTTTGCTTCTATTTCTCACAAACCCTCAGTTTTGACTGAAGGTGGAGTGTGGCATCCATTCTGGTGACGCGGCTGTCAAACAGTCGGCACATGATTGGTTAACATGTGGTGTGAGTCCTAAGCTGTGACGCAGTGAGTCAAGTTTCAGAACAGAAGCAGGGACAACGGTCCACTACTTACTGACACGTCTTCAGTTCATGATGTTGATGTCTGCAGGCACTGGGCTAAAATCAATCATGATTCCTAATATTACCAGCTGGTAAATAATTTGAGACACTTGCTTACATTCTGCACAAACCCACCATGCCTTATCCATGCACTAACACAACCCTTTTGTTATTTTCATGCATTTTACCAAACATGGTGTCTGCTGCAAGCATAAAGAACTATTTTCTGGCGTTCCAAAGAGCATTTTTCATTTTTTATTTTAATGCAGCTATGAATATCACAGCATGGAGGAGTAGTGAATGAATGCTGGCATGTATTAGTTGTACCTGACAGGAGCTCCTCTCCCCAGGGCAGGGCGCAGCAGCACAGTGATGGTGCTCTCCGACTCACTCAGCGGAGAGGGGATGTCTTCATAGTCAAACACAGGGGCTGGAAACAGGAACGGAGAAAGTCACACAGAAGAGTTCAAGTCACAGCTGAAAAACTTGAGATAGTACAGACAAAAATATATATATATATATATTTCATTTTGTGGGAAAGATCAATATGTGTTGTTTAGATTTGAGAGTTTAAACAGACATGTAGCTGCACTGCTGTTTGGATATTTTAGTAATTTTTTCATCCTTACATGAAAAGATAGAGTGAGCTATCTTTATTCATTACCCGCACAAGTCCCCAGTGTACGAGTGTGTGGAGGCCTCCCACACAGTGCCATTGACTGATGATGACTAGAAACAGCAGCCAACTACAGAGAAAACAAGAGGCTCTTATAATATAATTAGGACAGATCTCAAAGCTGCACAACCTCAGCAAAGCTCTGGGGACAATGAGGTTGAGTGTTCCCATCTCTGTTTACTACAGGGAGTGAATTAACTGGAGTATGTAGTGAAGCAAATGGCTATCCTGGTACAACAGATAAGCTGAAACAAAAAGGCTCCGAAATGGAAGTGGAAAATGTTTCTGAGGCGAGGCATTAATGCTCGTCATAAAAACCTGCTTGTGTAACCTGTCATCTGTAAAGCACACACTCGTGCTTGCACACAAACAGCTGAGGTCTGCATTCTGCGGCAGCATGGAGGGCTGTTGGAGCCATGTTAGGTGGTTAAATCCAATGAATTATGAAAACACTAATAGTACAGCATTGCACTTTTATGCTTGCTACCAAATTGGAGCAGGAGCTGGCTGCCCGCTGAGCCTTTCTGACAGCGCAGCCAGGAGAGAGCGTGTTACACTGTAGGTTGAATTATATACCTTGACAGCTGTGAGCCCACATAGGCCACCTTCTAAAGCAGATGGAGCAGGCAGGGAAACCAGGGAGGGATGCAGAACAGGCTGCATTATGTACAGTACGGGGTCACGACAGGTAAAGGACCATAGAGATGATTTGTTCTGGTATCATGTGCAGCAATTAGCTCCAGTAGAAGCAAAATGTATTTATTTTTACATATTGTACATACATGTACTTTATATTACATTACATTACACTACACTACACTACATTACATTACATTACATTATATTACATTATATTACATTGTATTGTATTATATTATACTGTATTTTATTATATTATACTTATACTTATCACATAAAACCAACCAAGCTTCAGGATGTACATCAGAATAAACTCCAGGCTTGTACACTAAATGAAGCTTTAAAAGACTTTGTGGGCGTAGGCTACTTAATTGTGTCTGTAAATGAATAAACTGTCGACATTATTTAACAGAACAAAACATATTTTGTCATATGTTGTGTCTAAATTCTTTGATAGAGACAAAAACACGTCAGTTCTTGGTGTTGCGTGGCCAACAGAGCTGATGGTCATAGATACACATCTGTAGCCATGAAAGCTTCTAATATAAATGATGCTGCTATCAAGAAGCAACAGATTCTAAAAGGCTTCAGACACATCTTCAACTCAGCTGCGCAGAAAATCTACACAGTTTAAAGATGGAAACCCAACATCAGTGTCACCAATTCAGTATTTGACCAAATGTGCTGCTTCCACCACCCACACAAAGGAGTAATGAATAAATGATTCCAAATCATCCACACACTACATTGACCCCCTGCATGTTTTATGGGACCACATCACAATAACGTTTGATGTTTCATCAGAGTAAACACAATTAGTGAAAACAACCTGCAGACACCCAGTCGAGAAGAAAGCCTTTCACATTCCCCACAGACCCATTTTCCAGACTGATCTCAAGATCCATACCGGCAACCTCCACACTCACAAACACTGCTTCTCTAATTTCTGAACTGCTGTGTTGCCTTTGAACGGTAAACACAGACTGTGGTGATGTGAACAAAGCTGTTTTCTCCCAAACCATTCATGCTGAACATTTGCAGTTTGCTATAATTCGGTCTGCTGTTATTCCATCAAACAAAGCCAGTGCACATTTAAAAGCTGTTTGGCTGAGAGAGGATGAAGATAGTTTGTATTATTTAAAAGTATATGCGTAATTTAATCAAAGCTCTTAGAAAGAAGAAATAGCAGAAGATTACTTAGTCTTTTTTTGCTATCATAGTAAATTCTTTGTGTATTTTGTTAAGAGCAATGTATGTTTATTTCCTTGAAGGCTGTGTTGTCAGTCACTGACAAACTTGTGTCTGCGTTACCATCACAAAGGCATCCTGACTGTAAGACTGTGACCTTGCTGTACCTCGACATGCTCACATGTACACACAAACTACTGCAGTGAACAGTAATCAGTACAAAGCCTCACCAGAGATGTTGGTGGTGATCTCAGTGAGGGCCGTCTGGCCAAAGCCTTTGGCAGTTCGGGCACGAACAGACACTAAGTAGGTGGTTCCAGGATGCAGGCCTGAGAACATGTGGTAGGTCTCGTTCCTCAGCTTGGACACCGTACGGCGAGGACCAGGCACATTGATGCCGGGATCTGACGACTCAATGCTCTGGTAGCTGATCTGCAAAGAGGGAAAACATTAAGTTAGTTTAAAATGAGAGTCTGCAGCCACCCTGCAGCTGTGTTACTGCTTTGACACCAGAAAAGTTCTACTTCTTAAACTTCCTTCATTCTTGAATGGTTGAAGTCGGTGCCACTTTGCAAACAGCCCACATTCCCACTAACTTGTAGAGGAACAGCTGTGTGACCATAACAACAGACTGCATCCTACAGGCCTGCTCCACTGGTTTACCTTTTAAATAAGGTACACACAGGGATGACTTGTAATGGTTTACTTCTCTGAGCCTCTGAATGGTTTTAGGGTAAAATGTAAAGAACAGTTTGAATGTAGGTTTAATAACTAGAACACAACATGTTGTGTGTTGGTGAGAATGCCTCTTGTGAGGCTGTATTATGGAAAAATTGTGCTTTTTCTGCACCAGTCTATGGTAGAACATCTTTATTTTTGTAAAGGAAAACACAAAATTCAGGAACCAACACACAATTCAGAACATAGTAAAACATAATGCACTGTAGCTCTCAGGTATTCTGTTTCGCTTTCAAGCATTTATTCTCCGGTAGATCAGCTTTTCCCATTTAATATTATCTCCACTGAGTCAACACACAGAAGCATGTGATTCACTCTCTGTGTCTTTTGTTTGGGGACGTAATCTCTTTAAATGTGCTGCACGTTGTCCTGTCAGTGATGTACTGAATCAGTTGAATTTTTTGCATATACTCCTGGACTTTAATAGTGTTGATGTGGTCCAACAAGAGTTCTGCTCATGTTCAAAACTTTATGCACATTTAAAACATACTACATGCATCTCTTATTGTGGTTTGTCAAAATAAAACTCCTCGGCTGCTTTCTTGTTTTATTGGGGCAACAAATGCATGTTTTAAACACTAACTTGTCCCTTATGCATCCCCATTACATCTACACCTATGTTTTGAGGACAATGCTAATATCAACACACTGACATGTGCACAATGACACGTCTAACATGCTTTGCAATGATTTAGACTTGAAGGTGCTGCTTAAGAAAACATCAGGAAGTCACCTAAACTATTACAAAGCATCCTGAGGGTGACATAGAAATTAATCCAGAAGTCATTTCATTCAAAAATAAAAGGTCAATAATAATAAACAATAGTGTCACAAAAAGTACATGTTAGTGGATCACCAGAGTCTTTAGGATTCATTGTCTGGGAACCACACACACTTTGTGTAAATCAATCATGTAGGTGTTGAGATGTTACACAAGATATGCAAAGTGCTCCAGAAAGAGAAGATCCACGAGAGGAAGTCTTGTAGGTCAACAAAGCTGTTATATATATAATATAACAGACCATCAATACCATCTCCACAGCTACACTGTTAGCATGAATAGTACAATGGAAATGTACCCGTTAACATTGTTGGATTATGTGGATGAAAGAAAAGGATGGTCACGTTTCAACATTTTCAGAGATTTTTTTTTTCTCTTTGCCAAGTATGTGTTTGAAATGGGACAATGTCAGTATAGCATCGGTGCCATTGTTAGGCCATAACATATTGTCCTGTATCAGCCCACAGAGGATCTGTCACACGCTCTACACAACCTATAGCTTATTACTCACTCTACCTGAAAGATTGGCATTTTATTTAAAATCCCTCCCATGAGAAATGCCGCTCAATTAATCTTTGGACTGCAGTGAAAAGATGTCGTCTCTCAGCGCAGATCTAATAAATCTTGTGCTGCAGTTAGCAACTGATAATCAGACCTCAGTAGATTCTGTGTCATATCCTCATTCTGCAGCACTGCCTGCCTGGTTCTACACAGCGTTCTGGATTAGCTGATAATGTACAAACAGCAAATACTGAACGTGACAAATAGGAATGAAAACCAGCATCATTTTAGTTGTTGTTGTTGTTGTTTTGATGAATGTGTGTAGGTCTGGAAATTGAGATTCATAAAACTGAGCAAATCAACCAGTCTGGTTAGAAAACGGCCTTTTCTTCATGACAGGAGCCCATTTCTAGTGTGTGTGAATCTGTTAACACTGGAGTTGGCTGAGATCTACTTCAGGACACGTGTCCCCAGTATAAAGGAGAGCAGTTGATCTGTTTGTAGGAGGTGGTTTGGGTCAACAGACAGATCAACATAACACCAGACTACTACATGGAGCATGCTGCCTGTTTGTTTCATTTTTCTACCAACAGTTAACGTCGGTTTCCTTTAACCGTGACCATATCTATTCCCTCGCTGTAAAAAGTGGTTATTGTTGTAACTGTGATGAAAAAGATCCCCTAAACCTAATCAAGTTGTATTATAACTGAAACCACGTCTCCCTGTGATCCCTAAACAAGCTACTTCTGAACCCTTTTCTTAACTAAACCTTGACCAGGGTGATGGTTAAGATCATAAAACTGCCTCCTTTTTAAACAGCCATGTTAAGCTGGCAAAAGTGGCATCAGAACCAAAACCACACGGACATGAATGTATATTTTTTTTGGATATTTTATGGAGATGGTTGCACTGGGTTGGACACGTGTTCTGAGGTTTTGCAGGGACAGGACATGTGTCCACTCCCACAGGGCACTCAGTGATAATAGAACAGGTCATCAGAGCAGAAAAATAGGATGCAAACTAACATACAAAGTCAGTTGAAACACATGATTTTCTGCAAATGTGCCGGTGGGCGTAAATCCTGGTGCTTAATGAGAATGCTTAGAAAAGCATTGAGATGAAATAAGAGCGACTGAGTGGAAACAACATGTTTCTGGTCAACAACCAGGTCTGTAGAGATGCTGGGGTCACATTCACATGGACTGGAAAACATTCCAGCACACAATTTGCACAAAGCATGCAAGGTGAAAACTGGCTTGTTCACACTGATGTGCTGCTGGGTGCATGGCCAAGCAAAGCTAATTACAGCTGCTGGTGCTCGGTTTGTCAGTTTACTGAACACTGGGAGTCAGTGTTCCTTTAAAAACAATTAGCACGTGGCTCTAAGATTTATGAGGAACTCTTCTTTTATAAATACTGTACAATTATCTTGAAACCCTGAAACACAGATTCTCAAGATTTTGAGAGGATTAACCAGGTTTTTATCTTACCTGGTAACAAACAGACAGCAGCCGATATATTGCTTTCAGCTTTTGGCATCAGCCTAAAAAATTCAGTCCACAGCACTAATGGATGCAGGTTAGGAGTGAAGCACCTCATCTGTATGCGGACCGAGGCCACAGCACCACTCACTCCTCTGCCTGCTTCCTCACTTTTCAAGCTTCAGCTTATGAATGGAAACTAGTTTCTCTTCCTATTGGGTGACCATGTGCTATGCCATAGCCGGTCTTCACATCTGCTTAGAGAAAAAAACTCCACAGACCGAGCTACAAAGGTCTACAGCTGATACGGGGCCATCAATAATTAATTAGAAACATTTAAAAGTTGCCCCCTTGTGGAGGCCTCTCTTAGGCAAATAAGTAATTAGAATGGTTGTCCCCCATGTAATTACAGCCTGAAGTCTGTGCCTCAGCTTCATTACCATACCAACATGTACAGTAAATCCCATGAACTGTGAAAAGTGGGTCCTACCTACTCTAGCGGCTCAGCCTGGTGTGTGCTGGCAGCGTCTGGGCAAGAAATGGGGAAAAACAGCCCTGGGGGAAATCAAAGAGGTGGAGCAGGGCATTCTTTAAAGTGAGCAGAGGATAATTATCCTTGATTTGAGTCTTTGTACTGAAGGAGGATGAAAATGGAAAATAAATATTGGTGAAGGAAAAATAGCATCTTCCACCTGGAGAGGATTAGTGTGTGATGGCAGCAGCATTGTTGTGGATGGTAGGTTCTGTGTTGTGAGGATATCAAAGTGTCTTACCTCATACTGTGTGATGAGGCCATTTGGCTCGATGGGCTCCTCCCACTTGAGGAAGATCATGTCATCGAGCGGGGTGAAGGTCAGAGACTCTGGAGCGATGCCGCCAGGAACTACAGCGGGAGAGAAAAACAAGCTCCTCTGAAACAAACACTCCACTCAGGTCTCAAGTTAATGGACTCCTGCGCAGGCATGCCAGGAGGTAAAAACACCTTTGACAAAGCGAAAAGGCACCGGGCCAAGGAGGGATGGAGAAGGAGGACAGAGAGGGAACACAGAGACAGGCCAGAAGCAGGTGATGAAAGGAAGCCGTGGAGCGACTTGCTCCGAGCCCTCAGGATGAATTGAGATTCTGGCTTCTACTGTCTGATAACAGAGCACTGTGTCTTGGAGGATGACAGTCAATTTTTCTTCTTTAGCACCTTACTGACAGAGAAACACTAAAGTAATCCAACCTGTGAGCTGCCTGAGTATCTCTCTGCATTTTTTGGTTTAATGAGATGCATCTTCTTATAGGAGCACATCTTGCTGCTTCACTTGTGATGAGCTGGGCAGTTTACTAAGTCCTGAAAATACATCATGTTCCAGGAGAGCTCAGTGGATTGTTAGCAGTGCTGCTGCATAGACCACTGTAGTCCTTTCACATCTACATGTCACAAAATGACAACTAAACGAGCTCCAAATAGTACAATGCAACTACATCTGATAGTTTTGTGCACAGAAGTGAAAAAGCGATCATCATCATAATCAAACAGCCTTTTAAGAGTCAGGGACTTTGCTGTTTCCATGGTTAGGGACTGATGATGGGATGGATAAGGAGAGATTAAAACACAGTCACACAGTTTGAGGTGCTAATGTCAAAGTATTTCAGAATAAACCATCTGCTTTGGATGATTCATATTTCCATCCGAATCGATTTTCTAAAATGTAGGAAGATACGGGAGGTGATGCTCAGAATAACAACCTGAACTGAGTAACACAGACTCATATGATGCACACGGTGTGTATTTAGTTAAAGATCTCACACTGCCTTCCACCTCAGCCATTCCTGCCTTACATACATCTCACTGGGTCCACACACATGTTCATGTGCTGTACTTTTAACAGTATTTAATGTTAATTGTTTGTTTTACTGTTATGTTTGTCTGCCTTTGTCTGTGACTGAGCTGAGACATTCAGGTTACTGTGAAGTCTTCCTGAGTCTTGACTCGTTGTTGTAGTTTTATCCCAGTGAGCAGTGACGACAACATTATACTCACCAAGTAAACTGCATCATTATGCCACGTTAGAACACAACGGGGCAAATCTCCAGTCAGACAATCATGCCAACGCATTTATATCCTGATTATCCACTTTACGTAGAGGTATTACAAAAGGGGGCACAGCAATAAGTGCTCTTAGTGAAAGCAGAGTGTATGTGGCAGAGACATGAAGACAGCACTAAACTGATTTAGCATTGGACTCCCAAAACACTATCACACTAATGATGGACAGAAACAAATAACCAAAACTGATGAAGCTGGCACAAAAACATGATCTTGTTATTTAATACAGTTGTGACTCGATAATCCGACATTAAATGCAACAGCTTCTTTTACGTTGGACAGCAGGGCTGTCGGATTGTCAAGACGGAGGTGACATCACAGGTAAATAGGTCCAGACAGCAGCTAAAGTGACCCAAATCCAACATTTTTGCTCCTGTGCGACCTGCACTGATCTTTTCATGACAGTCTGAACAACACAGATCCGATGTTTTAAAATGCGACCCAGATCACTTCGATATGTGGTTCTAAATGTGATAAGCATCTGATGTTTTGCCTTCTTCTGTCTGAGCTGCAGTTATCTGACCTACATGTCATTGATACACAGCAAATGGGCTGGAAGTGTCCAGAACACACAGGCAGTACTTGGCTGCTGATGCTAGTTTAGTTAGCGCTCACACTTCTGTTTCCTCCATCGGTGGCGGCGGGGGAGTGGCAGATACGCTCCACCGTTACCATCCATGTTTACTTCCATAAACACTGAGCACGCTCGCTGCGTGTGACGTCGTCGTGTCCTCTTCTGCGCATGCGGGACACTTTTGGCTCGTATGAAGTTCACACAGCAGATCACATACAAGTCGCATTGAAGTGGAAACGTGAAGGAAGTCACAAAGAAATCCTCATTGAGCATCAAGTCCTGCAGTGTGAACGTAGCCAATCTGTGGGATTGTTCAGTCAGATAATACGCCGTCATCCTGATTGGTGACATTAAATGTCATGTCGGAGTCACAATCCAAGGCTGTCGCTATGTTAAGCCTGTTTTTATGGCTTCTGTTGGTTTTTCCTACAAACCTGTCGGACAGCAGGTTTAGGATTGTTAAGGGTCGATTATCGAGTCATGACTGGACATTCTTCTTCCAACAGAGGGCTATAACGTGAGCTCTAAGAAGAAATTAGCCATCTGGCCCCAAACAATGTCCTACCTTTATAAACTATAGTGGTTCTGACCCAGTGGACCAATGACAGCATTATGTTCAATGAATCCAGACAAGGGTGGCATCATGCTGCAGTGGTTAGCACTAACAGTTCACAGCAAGTCGGTTCTGAGTCTGAACCTGTGGGTCGGATCAGGACTTTCCTCTGTGGAACGTGTTCGTCCTGTGATGGACTGACAGGCTGTCCAGGTGTATCCCACTTGTCTGCGGGATGAAGTGGGTAAAGTGCTGAATTCTTGTGGGACATGGGCGGTATGGGTGGTGGTCTGTTTTTTTTACCTGTAGCTGTGTGTCCACCTGTATGACGACCTGATAGCTCCTGTTTCTTACCCTGTCTGACGTCTTTTAGAAGATGTTGATGAACTAACTTGGTGCGGTGGGACAACAGACAACACCAGACTGTTTGTTGTTTCTAGTTTTCTCATTCTGTCACGTTGTTTGTTACTGTTTGGTGCTTCTTTTATCACATGTTTGTGTTGGATTGTATTATTCTTATGCTACAGGTGCTTTAACTTGTTTTTGGTGCTACTTGAACAGCAGTGTGTTTGTAATTCTAATATTTTTCAAACTTGAAAAAAATGAACTAGCAGTGACTTTGTGAGCAGGTAATGGGGAGGACACCTGCTGTTTGTGTGTCAGCTGTGACTGAATTACTGAGTGCTATTCTCTGGCAATATCAAACTTCTCTGGGCTGTCTGTTTCTCTTATAACAGCAGCTGAAGCTGAGGTAGCACTGAAGAAAAAAATCCTGCTGCATCCACAAATCTTGACAGCCAAATCTGCCTCCTCTGAGCAGCAGAGACACAGCGCAGAAAAAGCCCTACACCCCTGTTTGATTGTTGAGCCCAATAGGAAACAGGCAGGAGAAACTGTCACCTGCTGCGGCTCAATTACTGTAGTTGTGAGGCTGATGGCAGCTCTCCTTGTGACAGGGGGATTGGAGACTGTCAGAGTGTCAGACTGGCATTCAGTGGCTCAAAAGCAAAACTTTCCATTGGTGCTGACAATCCAGAAATCAAGTAAAGAAGGAGGGAAAAACAATCACAGCTGTTTTTTTTCTGACATGTGTTTTAACTTGTCACTTCCTCACGTCCCATTCCAATCTAAAAAACAAAATTAAAACACCATCCTACATTCTGTACAATATTCCGTTTTATGTAAATGCACATCCTCGTGCCTCCAAGACACAAATGTGTAGGAGGAGATAATGAAGAGTGCTATCTGTTCTTTTCACATCTTCACTGCTCGGTGTTTTTAAGTGCTGCTTTCATTAATTAATGTAAATCAATACTACATTTTTAGCAGATGCTTAAATGCATTTTAAAGATGCATAAAGAAAAATACTGCCAGTTGCATATCATAAGCATCATTTTCTCTGCCTCTGTCCTGCAGGTCAAGGAAGTCCCTGAGTGACATTCAATTACAGCCAGAAATCCTGCTTTTTTTGACATAACAATGAGTGTTTGACCTTCTGTACTTCCTCTCTGGGAATTTGCATTAAAATGTGCTTCATCTGCTGATGTACACAGGAACAAAATTAATACACAGATAAGCAAAATCATTTTACCGTTTTGCTAGCGGCCACAGCCTGAGCTGATTAATGTTCCACAGGTCTCCATTTAAAAGGCTGATCTTCCATTTAGTTATGCTGATCCAGCTTATTTTGTGAGTCAATATTTGTGTTTTTCGCTGGTACTGGATGACTAAAGGCACGGATTTGTGTAAGCAGTGCACAATAATTATTTGAGCATGAAGGAGCAACTACAAATTCTGAAGCAAGAGCTGAGTAACTATGACAATAAAGGGCTTTAGTGCATGCATAAAATAACATCCCAGTCCTCTGTAATGATGTTGCAGGTAACAAATGCCATTTCAGCAGACCTTTGCATCTTTTCTTCTGCTAGTGTTCCACCAGTAAAATGAAAGTGTCCACTCACTGTCCTCCTCAGTCTGGAAGGTGACCTCTCTGCTCTCCTTCTTGCCTTCAGGGTTGGCCAGGGCCAGCCGGACATGGACTGCACGGAAGGGTGGCAGGTCTCTCAGGGTGAAGTGAGAAGTGTTTCTATCCACAGACAGGCACTCTCTGACGGTGGCGTTGTTCCCTCCGCTGCCCCCTGTTGGCATGGAGTAGCGGTAGCACAGGGACAGAGTGTAGGTGTGGCAGCGGGTGAGGTTGTAACCAAGTGGCTCCCACTGAAGGGCCAGCTGCCGGGCCTGGATCTCTGTGGCTGTCAGTCCCCGTAAGGCACGCATTGGCTCTGAAAGGGACACAAAGTAGAGATGCTGCTGATTACGTGCAAACACTGAGCTCACATTTACAAGCCTCTGCAAAGGACACCAACGGGAAGAGGAACGACATCGTAAGGAGACCTTTTGTTTCCCATCCATCCTGCAAGCCAGAACTACATTTGGACAAGTTGGGCAAATTTAAAGATTCAAGGTAAATAAAATACAGATCAGCACATCTGAAAAGTCTCAAAGTCAATGAAGTCAAAGTGAGCTCTATTGTCATAAAATACTCCACAAGAAGACAAACATAAGTTCCTTTCTCTTGGTTCAGACCTATAAAGACATCAACGTCTGACATGCACATCATAAACTGCACAGTTCAGGCAGTACCTGCTGAGATGTGTTTAAATGTGATCTTTTAAAAATTATCTTTAATTTTGGACAATGCACACAAGAGAGTATGAACAATACTGTAAGAAAAGTTTATTCTAAATACATTACAAAGTGATACTCTCCAGCTAATTAAACACTCAGTCCTTTCCTGTAGTGAAATGACTTGGATGTAACACCTTCTATAAAGACCGTTCCTCTGTCACTCCTTCCCACCAGTTCACCTCCGACTCTGCTCAAACACTGTATAGCTACTCTACACTACACAGAGGCAGGTTAGTGTTTGGAGTAATTTAGCCATATATGTAAAATTAAAACTAGAAACTGCTTCTGGAGAAGAACACTGGTACAGAAAGGCCCTGCAGACGGACAGAATGGAGCACATAGATTCAGTCTGTCATCAGTCTGTCATGCAGGTTCATGGTGCTGATGACTTCTTTTGCTCATCATTTGTCCTCCAGCATATAAAAAAAAAAACATCCTATCAACATGTTAGTGGGGTAAAAAATAAAAAAGATTTTTACCAGAGGGAGTTTTTAAGCTCCAATGGAAACTCCAAACTACTGACTTCTGTCATATATCTTCCATTTGCAGATGGAGACGATGGACTGTGAGCTGAGATGATTTTGTTGCACAAGCTGATCACAAAGTCAAAGTTGAACTTCCACACAAATGATTATATGCCGCCTGTGAGTTATAACACAATGCAGCAGCATTAATTGACTTTTGGCCATTTGCGAGCGTCAGACTGAGCTGTAAACACCCTCAGTATGAACATCCATACTAATCACATCTGCACCTCCACCTGCTCCATCTGTCTGTTCCTCTTTCTGTCTTGGTTTGTCTCATCAACGTTCGGTTTACTGGGAGAATGTTTATTGCCTTCTAATGTATTCATTTCTAAATATACGAAGGGCTACAATAATCTAATTTCATAACCAATATTTGAATGAATACAAACAGATCTTCTTACATGTTGTTGGCCAAAGTAAATATTTTTAATCCCTGTTGTCATTTCTTTGTGATCATTCCTTCTACGAGCTCTGCTTCACAGGCAGACAGCATCCAGAGTCGAGGACCCGTCAACAAGATAACTCTTTGGTGAACTACTGTCTGAGTAAATGCGCAACACATACAGTGAAAAAAACAAAAACCATGGGACATCTTCTACTAATAAATAATGATATGTGCAGGTCAGAACTTTTCAGGCTGCTTCACCATCATCCTGGGAGTGAAGATGTCCAGACATCTGTTAGGAAGTTAGGATCCCTCTTAAATGCTTCCTTAAAGATATTTCTGGACCTGTCCAGGTAAGAGGAGATACAAGGGCAGAGAAAGCTTTGGGCTCCCCAATAAGGATGTGGCTGACAAGTTTAAACTGCCACTGGATGCTGATTTTAAAAAATGATGGATGAATGGAAAACAATGTTGAGTTCATTTCCAGTTACTGAGATGCACACAAGGTTTTATGGTTTATGCCGACTAGACAAGTGTATTTTTAGTTAAAAACCTTCCCAGTGCAGCTTAAAAGAGGAACACTGATGAGGAAAAGCAGAAAGCAACAGCTGGAGCTGACTTTACAAGCTTCGACTTGGAGGTTACAGAGGAGTGAAATAAGGAGAAACATCAAATTATCTTAATAGTAAAACATTTTACACTTAAACATCAGGATCAGTAGGAGACCAGTGCACAACCTCAACAAAGAATCATACATTTAAAAAAAAAAAGCCTAATTACTGCTGTCTTGTGTGATCCAGACCACTATGTCCCTGAATGTCCTGCAAGCCTGTCCTGGATTCCTGAGAGTCCTGCAGAGACGCCCCAGAAGAGGGCGATGCCTTCATCATGGCCTCGCTGTCCAGTGCAGACAGTGGTGGGCCGTGCATTTTACTTCTAGGCCCTCAGTGGCGTCCTACCTGAACCAAACCACCTCTTAACACTGAGATTATAACACCACGGCTATAGAAGCTATTAATATGATACAGAAAGGCAGGACAGGAGGTTGCATTGCAGACGGGTATCTCATGTAGCACAAATGAATGCATCCCTAAAGCAAGCAGCCCAGTTACAACAGTTCAGGAAGTCTCCTTTCACTGCAGCCACAGCTGCACCACATACACCACATCTAGCAGGAGCATCAACACCAACCAATGACAAAAATATAATTTAGTCATCAAAACTTGTGATTATTTCAACACAAACTCCATTTTCCTCTCTTTCCTCATAAGGAGTTCAGTCACTGTGTTGAGCAGGTAATCTGTGTGTTTCACTTCCTGTTCTGTCTCCATGGAGGCTGAA